GCAATTGTGTGAATAAATTATGCAAATTAGACTTTTGAGCAGCCAATAAAAATGATTTGCCTGCAGTTCATATTAGGCTACGATTACGATGCGCAGCATCATACGTTGACAGACATGTTAACAATTTACTTTTCAAAAGAGTTGCTTATATTTTTGAAATGTGTACATCAATTATAACATATGTTCACACCTTTAAATTTTAAAGCCAGAATCAAACTGCAAAAATTTAATTATATGTACTATTAAGAACACGTACGTTTTAGTAGGGTTTTTATAATGGAAGTGGCTAGCGTACGGGCCCGTACGGCTAGCCAAAAGTTTTAGCCGTACGTGAGTCACGTACGACTAGCAAGGACACGCTGTATTGGCTAGCCGTACGGCACTTTTCAAAATTTTATGGAAGTCGAAAATGCATATGCTATTTTATGACTTTAAGCGAGGATTTTAACCAAGAAACAGCATTAATTGTCTTTGGATGTTAACTTTTTAGAGATTAATCGCCTCGATCGCTATATATATCGATCTTTGTCATCGCAAGATGTCGAGAAAAAATAGCTTTTGCTTGCATTTACACCAATTGAAATAGTTCACAAAATCTTGATAATAATCCTTTTTTGTTTCATTAAGTTTAATTTTCGACACCTTTTATATGAAAAAAAAAAACAACAAACACTGAAAATGATTGTTGTTAGGCTCTTGATAATTGCGACAATTACCGACGGTACTGTATAGAAGTTTGTCCATCAAGGAAAGTTTGCATGTTCCGTGAAAGGCATTCTAAAATTCTATTGTCAGTCCCTGGATAGGTTTTAATTAAGGCTAATGAATTGATTGACTGTGCTTTTATGTTTTTATGTTTTATGTTTTTTTTTATTCCATGTTCTTTTTATTTATTTATTCCACTTCGATCATTTTTTATTTGATCCATGTGCTTAGAATTAACAAAAATGATTTAATAATTCATACAAATAAAACAACAAATGATAAGCATGAAAATCAACAATTTTATAACGTTCGACTTCCATATAATTTTGAAAAGTGCAGTACGGCTAGACAATACGTACATACAGTGCGTCCTGGCTAGTCGTTCGTGACTCACGTACGGCTAGAACTTTTGGCTAGCCGTGCGTTTCTTTATTTTTTATTTATTTATTTTTTTTGATATTTCCTCTACACCTCCTGTGAAAATTAAATTGTCTGGTCATTAATATTTCCTTACGATTCAACTAGATTTATCATGAATCTAAAGATGTGGGGAAATGACATCACGCGCACCTGTTTTTATACGGCCAATACACAAACATGGCCGCGCTTACTGATTTGTAGAAATCGCTGATTTAGCGATTTAAATTTTGTTATCATTCGTTTAATATTATTATTTGGCGGCAGAAAATTTGCAGACATATTATTTATAGTATTCTTTTTCTGAAATCAAGTTTTTATTCTAACCTTGTCTTTCCCTTTAAAGGTATATATTTGAGATTTGTGACATGAAACAGTATTACCAGTTTGTAAATTTTTAATTACCTCCCCTTATCTATCCTGATTGCACAACCAAGAAATATTAATTTGACAAACTTGTTATATATCATGAATTCCTGCTTTTAATGTTAAAGTCAATGTAAATCTTAAATGAATATAATACAATCATTATACTTTTCATATGATTTCCTAGGATTAATATGTTAATTAAATAAATACTTATGATAGAATAATTCTGCAACTGTTGTGCAACTTGGATGAGAAAATTACATATTGAGTCAGAATCTTACATACATTAAGCGCTCAATGAACTTATATGTTAATAATCAACTGCTAACATATCAAATAAATCTGTTTCATGTCTAAAATCTCAAATAGATACCTTTAAACATTAATCAGATAACATTGATTTCTGAAAGTACTGTATCCAGCAGAGTAGCAAATTATGCAAACAGTTGCATTTCAGTGATGAGTTTCTGATCAATGTCGGAATAAGTAACTGAGTGACAGGTAAACTGACGTATAAAGATGCTAAATATTTTTAATGAAATTGGACTTTCTTTCACAGTTACTCCAGAGTTTCTTCGTATTGCTCCATATTAATTGTACATCTATTTTTAGACTTGTCCGACAACATTACGTGTATTTGCAGCAAACTCCTACAAAACGCCAGGAAGTTTGTTTTATTACAAGATATGTATATGTATTTACGGGAAAGCACGTGGTTCATAGAGGTTCTTGTCGTATTCTCAGTCAGGACTGAACGATGGGTTGTGGTTTTAGATATCCTTCAACACGTTTGCAAGTTTTTAGTATACAAAAGGGGATATAGCCTACCACCATAGGTGAAAGGCATAAAATAAGTCTCGTGTTATTTATTTTATATGCTAAATCAGCTACTGAATAATAAAATCAAAAATACTCATTGATATAGCTACAGGACATACATTGAGTTCCAAAAAATACATTAAACACACCCTACAATTTCTCCATTTTTGTACATAGACAGGGAAGGCATTTGTTTTTAGATTAATGAACAGATTTGAAATAAAAAAAACAACTTTACATGATTTTAGAGTCATAATTGAAGCCTTTTCTATGTAGAAAAGGAGAAACGTTAGGGTGTTCCTTTATTTTAGATAAATCTAAACATAGCATTATGAATCTATTATGAAAGCGGCCAGGTGCAGAAATAAGGATCACAAATAAAACACCTTGCATAATACTAAAACGTTGTAACATTATTTTTTATCATTATATACAAGTACATCTAATCCTGAAAGTTCATGAACACATTCTGGTATCTCAATAAAGTCCATATATAAATGTAAAAAAATCAAAACTGCATGTAAATCCGAACATTAAATTAAAAAATAATGTTATTGTTGTTTCAAATACATATACTTTTATGATAAAACTACATGTAGTCTGCATTCTTTTTACTCTTGATTCGTGGCAGGTTTATTTGACATTCATTAGAAAACTTAAATATTTTTAAACCTTAAAATAGAAATATAAGAAAATTTACTATGGAAACATACAATGCATAATAAAATATATATGTACTCGAGTATGGCTTTGAATAGGTTAAAAAAAAGTTTGGCAGGACCATGAAAGTTTTTGTGTCAAAAATGCCAATTACATATACGTGTAGAGTGAAACATTCCGTTTAGGTTAAGTCTTATTTAACCTATAGCTCTTCAGCGCTTCTTTATATGTAAAATTCTCTAGTATTTAAAAAGATATTGGTGAAAATAAACGTCAACTTACCAGATGCGCGTGACATCACAGGTCACGTGTTTACATACCCTGTTTGAAATGACCTTCAAGAAGAAATAAAAGGAAACAGAAAAATTACAAATAGCACACAAGCAATTATACATTTACACTCATGAATTACTAGTATTAAAATCTCACATGAAACACAACGTTCAGATGCATCATTATTAAGACTTATTTAAGCGCATACATAATTCAACAGACACATAACCTTTTTTGAAATAACTAAATCGAATGTACAAGGTTAGTAATAACTAAACTGAATGTTTCAAGTTGATATATTAAAGTTGAATACTTTTGGAGTTATATTCTAAACAAAGTTTTCAAACAAAGGGAGGTTATTCAAATATTGGACCAACCAGAGTTATTATTCTTTATTAGTGCACCTTTACTAAATGAGGTCTATAATCCTATAACATTTCAACTTGATATCTTGAATACTTTCAGAGTTATTTTCTTAACAAAGTCAGAAACAAACGGAGATAATTCAACAATTGGACCACCTAGTATTATCATTCTTTGTCTCTGCAATTTTTCTCAACAGCTATAATCATATAAAATTTCAAGTTGATATCTTAAATACTTAAGAATTTTAGTCCTATCTATAATGTAAACATAATGGAAAAATTAAGTTTTTTATTCAAGGGCCATAACTCGGTCAAAAATCATATAACCAAGAAATCCGTTAAATATGTGTAAGTGCTTGACCTATCGATCACTCCTGCAAAATTTCATTTACATTGCACAAATAGTTACAGAGGAGTAGTCCGGACAAACTTTAAAAACTAAAAATCATTAAAGGGCCATAACGTACTCTTTAAAAAATCATCGAACCATTAAATGCCATCAATATGCACGACTAGACTTGGTACTGATCATTCCTGTAAAGTTTGGTTGAAATTGCACCAGTAGTTTCTGAGGAGTAGTCCGGACAAACTTTTGTGACGGACAGACAGACAGACGGACAAACGCCGAAGAGGGGATCCCTATATGTCGCCGCTACATTGTATAGTAGGCGACACAAAAATGAACACCCCGAAATGGTTATGCGTCTTCTGTTATAATCCAAAAACAAAAACAAATTAAATAGTTCACTTTCGCTGATCTGTCAGAGTAGTCCACATACACACTGCATGGGCAAGTCCTTGAGACAGTGATACCAAATACCTGGCTTCAGATTTAAGTTGGAATAAACACATTAATCAGGTCACCACAACAGCAAGTTAAACTCTTAATTTCATCAAGCGCAACATCATCACCAAACATCAAAATATCAGGGAATTTGCTGGAGTATTGTATATAAAGCTCAGTACGTGTAGAGTCCCCATACACAGCAAAATATCCAAAGATCGAGATAGTCCAGCGCAGGGCCGCTCGATGTGTTACTAGTGTCTACTCAAGCTATAGTAGTGTCACAAGCATGCTAGAACAGTTAGGGTGGCGTTCCCTTGGAAACAGAAGGTGTGATACCAGGCTACTGATGTTCTATAAAATTGTCCACGGGCTGGTTGCTGTACCAATGCCTTCTTACAATCTACGTAGGACGTCAACCAGTATATCTATTCTCAAAATAAGGTCCACCACGGAATGAGAATCTATATCATACAGTAATCTGATCCTGAAATTATTGAATTTTAAATGAAAAAAATATAACAAATCTTATTTGATTTACCGCTATTGACACAAAGTGTACGGTATGATGTACGGCTAGTACGGAATTATATTCCGGATCCCGTAACATTTGGGTCTGTCTAAAGCGTCTCTCAACAGAACGATCGGTAACATTTAGGACATGGCGGAAGGGGAGCCGGTCAAGAAGAAGATAAAAGTTGCATTGCCGGATGTTTTTGAGAACTTTCTTTCAGATTCTTATGCAAAACGTCGCCTTAAATTTGGGTTAGATATTGTAAAATGTGGAGCACAACATTGCATTTTCAGAAGTTGCAAAATAAAACGGACGAACCTGGAAGATGCGTGTTCATTTACGAAGGCTTATTTTAGAGAGTCTGATGAAATGCCTGATGTCGACCGAATGTTTACATTCGGTCAATTATTTCGTAAAGGAGTGGATAAACTTAGTGCATTTATAGACTCAGAACCAAATAATCCTCAGATACCTGAAAACGAGGAGATCCAAGCTGCTTTCAAGCGACTGTTCTTGTATTTCAAGAACATGGAAAATGGTTAGTCTAGACATGTATTTATTTTATATGCAAAAAGATATTATTTGCTTATAAGAAATTTCAACACAGCATTTTCCTGACATATGTAGCTCACAGACACATGGGTGTTAGCTTAATTAATTCGGCGTGAACGGTTTGAACCATTTTACAGACTTTTTTTTCTTACTGTCAAACGTTGGAAAAAAGACAGCGCCCGTCCAAAATTATCTCGGTGTCTCTTTGACAAGTCTAATTAGTTGGACTACATGGGTGTTGGCATAGTGGCACAGATGGATTACCAAGCAGGGGTTCAATTGAAACAAGTAAAAGTTTTGATGCTAAAGCATCAAATCAACAGAGAATAAGTTTGATATGCAATCAGACTAATTTTAATCAATGAATTATAAAATCCATGTATTTTTAGGTTTTTGTTTAATGTAACATTTTGACCAACATGTAGAATTCATATAAATTCCAGGGTATCTTATAACTGTCAGTACTTGTCCCAGAAGATCATACATCTGTTTCATACATACATGTAACAAAATTGCGTGTCACAACAATGAACAGCAGTAAATAGTAGGAACAAAAGTAGTTAAAGTGACCCTGTGTAATGTTTTCAAATCCACCACGTTAAAATCCTTTTTTAAAGAATTCCACCAATACATTTATTATTTATTTATATCTTATCCTTTCTCAGCTAGAATTAAATTGAGACTGGCCTAACTTTCCCAGCAAACCTATATACCCTAAACAAAGTCAAATGTGCTTTTTGACCAGCTTCTATTTTCCAGATCAAAGGATTTCACACCTATGTGATTTTCTATGCAAGTTGCAGGAAGCAGACCAAAACTAATTATCAGTTTAACCCCCTCCCGAAGTTTGACAGGAAAGGCAGAGAATATGCGAATTACTGTCACATGATTCCTACAAATCAACAGGGAGAATCCATTAATGATTAAATAGAAATAGTAAAATGAATAGTCTTCATAGACTAGTATAACTGGAACAAACATTTATTCTAGCATAAAAGAGCTAATTTTTTTGGGTGTTTTAACAGGACAAAAATGGTGTGTTAACAGAGAGATTCTCGCGCTCACGTGCTGTTATCGCACCTATTTAGATATTAGCGTTCCAGATGTATTGCGGCCCTGCAACTGCAGGCTTAAAACGGAAATTACATCAATGTCATAAACAAAGCTGATGTTCCTACGTAATGATTGGACAATCAGTGACGTTGATTTGCAATGCATTAGAAATGTCAGTTTTCCGCATATTTTTATGCTAGAATAGCGTTAACACATGTTTGTTTCGTGTGAAAACAACTGCAGAAACCCTTGGGATACGTTGGTCCCTCATCCTACTGGCTATGGCACCAACCAATCCCTTGGGTTTCTGCAGATGCTATAATATGAAAAAGCCTGCATTATCCTTATAGAATTGTGTGAATTGTTTGGTATTGAAAGCACAACACTAATTTTTGCATCTTAATAAGTATAATATATTTATATAATAAATAATTGCAATATGCCATATCACTATAACTGACCTTTTGGCAAAGGAAAGATATTTATGAACAGACATAATTTTGGAAGTAATTAGAGTGAATACTGACAGATGTTATGTATAGAATGTAATAGTTTTTAATGTTTAAATGGAATTTGTTGGTTAATAACGTAATTGCAGCAGAACATTTAAAAATATCTTATAACCATTTATCTGATTTAAATTTAATTCAGTTTATTAAGTCATTACAAATATAAATTAAGAACTAAATTTTTAAAGAAGTGATTATGGTTATTTTTCACACCCAATATCTGGTACTGTGTAGCAGGCTTGATTTACTGGGTACATCTTCACTATTCCAATGGGTACATTTATTAAATATTATAATACAAAAATGCTGTGTATCTCAAATTATTTATTGCCTAAAAATATAATTAATTTAATATGAAATGTATTAATTTTTCTTAATTAGAAACATTTTTATACATGGTTAAATCTTGACTAAAGCACAGTTTTACTGGGTACATCTCAACTACTCATATTTGGAGACATTAATTAAATATACAAAGAATCCTATATACATCACAAATTATTCACTATACTTAAAAGTTCATTTAATACTATTAAAAAATTATTAGAAACATTTGTATGTGGGTACATCTTGACTTTTACCATTTAGGTACATTGGTGTTTCAAACTAATAATAAGGAAGCAGCGCGGATCCTATATTTGCAGACATATAGAGATCTTGAATTGCGCTCATGGCAAATTGCACAATGTTTGTTTTTACATATTGTGGTTCACAAATAACCCATGTACTCATAATTTTGTAATCATGTGATAATAACAATCTGGTATTAATTGAATTGAATTGGTAAGATGGCCGCTAAGTGCCATTATTTACATATATAACAAATAAATACTAATATCATGTAATATATATATCATTCCAAAAGTAAGATAGTATAATTTTTATGTGTCCTTGTGATTCCATATCTTGTCTAGTACATCAGACTTCTTTCCCATTGTTGTAATGTGCTTTTTTTTCAGAATACAAAGCCCTTGAAGAAATTTCAAAAACCTCTAAAGAATGGCCATGGACTTTGGTTCTTGCACAACATATATTCAGCAAACTAGCTCCGTCATCTTCCTACCTCTATGATATTGGTGGAGCATATGATACTTCAGAGGAATGTCCTTGTGTAGGTCATGACAAGTTGTGTGGTCAGCAAGGAGACACAAGCTTTGGTAAGCTAGTTAAGCTCAACTGTTGTGATATAGTCTGGTGTCCTATAGTAGTTAACTTCACCTGGTTTGCCACCTCTCTAAGGCTTGAAAAACACATATGGTTTTCTTTGTAATACTGTTTGTGAGCAGTGGACCTTTCTACTTTTTGCATGTAAATATTCAAGCCCCCTCTTTTTATACCCCCACCACAAAATGTGGGGGGGGGGCTATAATGGATTCGCTTTGTCGCGTCGGTCGGTCGGTCGGTCCGTCTCCATTTTCGTGTCCGCTCTATAAATTCTATACCAATTGAAGGATTTTCTTCAAACTTGGCTCGAATGTTCACCTCAACAAGGGGATGTGCAGAACCCATGTTGCCCATGTGTCAGCTCAAGGTCAAGGTCACACTTGAAGGTCAAATATCAAACAATGAAATATTAGACAGTATGTCGTGTCCGCTCTGTAACTCCTACACTTATAGAAAGATTTTCTTCAAACTTGGCTCAAATGTTCACCTTAACAAGGGGATGTGCAGAACCCATGTTGCCTATGCGTCAGCTCAAGGTCAAGGTCACCATTGAAGGTCAAATTTCAAACAATGAAATATTAGACAGTATGTCGTGTCTGCTCTGTAACTCCTACACTTATTGAAAGATTTTCTTCAAACTTGGCTCAAATGTTCACCTTAACAAGGGGATGTGCAGAACCCATGTTGCCTATGCGTCAGCTCAAGGTCAAGGTCACCATTGAAGGTCAAATTTCAAACAATGAAATATTAGACAGTATGTCGTGTCTGCTCTGTAACTCCTACACTTATTGAAAGATTTTCTTCAACCTTGGCTGAAATGTTTACCTAACCAAGGGGATGTGCAGAACCCATGTTGCCCATGTGTCAGCTCAAGGTCAAGGTCACACTTGAAGGTCAAATATCAAACAATGAAATATTAGACATTATGTCGTGTCCGCTCTGTAAGTCCTCCACTAATTGAAAGATTTTCTTCAACATTTGCTCAAATGTTCACCTCAACAAGGGGATGTGCAGAACCCATGTTGCCCATGTGTCAGCTCAAGGTCAAGGTCACAACTGAAGGTCAAATATCAAACAATGTAATATTAGACAGTATGTCGTGTCCGCTCTGTAAGTCCTACACTAATTGAAAGATTTTCTTCAATTTTGGCTCAAATGTTCATCTCAACAAGGGGATGTGCAGAACCCATGTCAACCTTTTGCCGTCTTAAAGTCAAGGTCACACTTGAAGATCAAAAATTAACTTAGAAAATATTCTTAAATTTTAACATTTAATTGAATATTTCTGAATTTAGAAAAGGTATTTGCTTGAAACTTGAAATATATATGAAGTGTCTCAATTAAGATATGCTGGTCAAGTTTCATAACTCTGTATTGCATTTTAACAAAGTTATGCCCCTTTTTAAGTCTTCAAATTAACATACAATCAAATATTAGACAGCATGTCATGTCCGCTCTATAAATCCTATACTAATGGAACCTTTACTCAAATGTTCACCTCAACAAGGTTATGTGCAGAATCCATGTCACCTTTGTGCCGGCTAAAGGTCAAGGTCACACTTGAAGGTCAAAAATTGACTTAGAAAATGTTCTTAAATTTTAACATGTACTTGAATATTTCTGAAACTAGCACAGGTATTTGCTTAAAACTTAAAAGATGTATGAGATGTCACATATAAGATATTCAGGTCAAGTTTCATAACTCTGTTTTGCATTATGACAAAGTTATGCCCCTTTTTAAGTCTTAAAATTTACATACAATCAATGCAAGACAATATGTTGTGTCTGCTCTATAAATTCTATAACAATGGAAGGATTTTCTTCAAACTTTACTCAAATGTTCACCCCAACGGTGCGATGTGCAGAACCCATCTTACCCTTGTGCCAGCTTAAGGTCAAGGCCACACTTGAAGGTCAAAAATTGACTTATAAAATGTTTGGTACATTGGGAAAATGAAAGGTTATTTGTAACTGTTTCAAACATGATTTGATAATACCATATAACATTTATACCATTACCTGTATAATTAGTCATTCTTTCACCAGAGATAATTTCTTTTTATGTATTTGTGCCACTTAAGTTATTCCCTTAACCACCTTTCCAAGATGTCTTTTGTCAAGGACATTGAATCGCATTCAGTGATAGTTCTAGTCTATTCAGGGCTACTGCTCACAAACAGTATCACAAACAAAAGCACTTGTTCTTTTATGTAAACCAGGTCAACCATTTCCTCAGTATAGCAATTGGATGGCCAGTCAGTCAATTTGCATGTAACTGTTTAAAATACTGGAAAAGTCTGTTGACCTAGCCATGAATAGAAAAGGTGGGGCTAAAATTTTCACAGTTAAAAAGTGGAATGGTGCATTATATTAATAATTTAATTAATCATTAATTAATAGAGTTTTTGATAACAATTAACATTAATGCTTAATTGAAAGATTTGAATTAAAAATAATTAAATTGATTAATTAATTTTTAAAAAAGGCACATAATTTTTAAATAATTTTTCAGTTACTTTCAATTAACAGAATCTTGGAACACTTAATTTTTAGCTCGACTATTCAAAGAATAGTAGAGCTTACCTACTCACCCTGGCGTCGGCTTTGGCATTGCGTTATGCAATATTTAGTAAATGCGTTCAAGTTCATATCTCCACAACCACTGTAGGTATTCACTTAAAACTTCACACATGTATTTTGGGTGAAAATGTAAGCTCACTTGCCAAGACCCATAACTCTGTTCTTTTTTGTATTTGAATTATGCCCCTTTTTGGACTTCTAAAATCTGCATTTAATAAATGCATGCAAGTTCATATCTCAACAATCACGGACGGTATTCACTTGAAATATATATTAAGATTGAAAATGTCAGCTCACTTGCCAAGACTCATAACTCTGTCATGCACATTGGCTGAATTATGCCCCTTTTTGGACTTATACAATCTGCGTTTAGTTTTTGCGTGCAAGTCTATATCTCCACAACCAGTGAAGGTATTCACTTGAAACTTTACACTTTTGTTCTGGGTGAAAATGTAAGCTCACTGTTTTACATTTTGACTGAATTATGTCCCTTTTGCACTTAGAAAATCTGTGTTTAGTTTTTGGGTGCAAGTTCATATCTCCACAACCACGGAAGGTATTCTCTTGAAACTTCTTGCATGTATTTGAGGTAAAAATGTAAGCTCTCTTGCCAAGACCCATAACTCTGCCTTGCATTTTGACTGAATTATGACCCTTTTTGGACTTGGAAGATATGTGTTTAGTTTTTGCATGCAAGTTCATATCTCCACAACCACAAAAGGTATTTACTTGAAACTTCACACATGTGTTAGGGTTATCACAGAATAATACCCCTTTACTATCCAGTACTGAGAATAGTAGAGCGTGTGTTACTTCTGACCACTCTTGTTCTGTCAGCTACTGATACAATATTTATGATTAAGTGATCATATACTTGTAAAATGATGATTAGGTGCTAATTGATCTACAAATGTGGGGAAACTATAACCATTGCAGGTGCAAACATAATTACCCTAAATATTTCAAGCATAGTAAAAATTTGAGAATTTTTCAAACTACAATATACACTTAACAAAACTTATAAGTACCCCAGTTATAGTTTTCAGCATAAATTATGATAAGATTAACGCAAATATTTAAAACTTATGCTGTCTTAAGTTAAATCATATTTTTTAACATTTCATAACAAAAAATTCATTTATATACAACTCAAACTTAACTAAAAAGATCATAAAACGAAATCAATACCAGTTCACAAATTCGCATCAGAGTCTTATGAAGTCAATATCGAGTATGTCCACCGTTTGCGTTAATTACTGCTAAGCACCGTGATCGCATTGACTTAATGAAATTTCTAAAATAAGCCATTGGGATAAGTTAGCCCATTCTTGCATTAGTCGGTTGTGTAGTTCTCTTTGGTTGGTGGGTGCATTCGGGCCTCTGTAGACACGCCGGCCATATGTTCTAAATCGGGTTGAGATCGGGCGACTTTGACGGCCCGGGCAGTACGTTGACATTCTGCTGTTGCAAGAGTGCCCGTGTAGTGCGTGCAGTGTGGCTTGTTAACCCATCTTGCATTAGTGTCATGCCCCTGTTCTGTTGAATAATGGGAATGGCAACGGGGCTAAGAATTTCGTGCTGGTAACAAGCTGCATTTAAGTTCCCTTGAATTGCAACAAGTGGTGTTTTCACGTGGAGTGATATTCCAGCCCATTACATTACAGAGCTGCCGCCGAACTGATCTCTTTCTACGACGCACGCATCAGCATAACGCTCACCACGTCGGCGGTACACATGGGTTCTCCCATCATTTCCCTGAACATTGAAACGGGACTCGTCGGTAAAGAAGACTTGTGCCAAGTACCGCACATGTAAATCTCAGATGAGCCCAGCAGACACTCGCTTAACGGTGGTGTCCACGCAGTACAATTCCCCGATACCGCCGTCTGGCACGAATACCAACGGATCTGAGGCGCGATCGGACTGTGTTGCTGCTGATTGGCTGTCTGTGAGTCCCAATTGTCCCCCTTGCTGTTTCTACTGCTGTGCGCTTCGGCTGACAGAGGTGCTATAAACCATAAAGCGGTCTTGTCTGCGTGCTGTCTCTCTACCACGTGGTCTCCTCGGAAGATTGGTGACACTTCCGGTACGTTTGTACTTTGAGGCCAGTCTAGTAATAGACTTCTTTGTAAGTTAACAAACATTCTTCGGGCAACCTAGAAAAAAAACAAAGAATTACAAGGTACATAATACTGAAATGCAACGGGCTTGTCGTAGAATGCATGCACTGAAATGCAATAAAACGAACAATGGGTTTTGAACCACATACCTGCTCATGAGACGCTCCGGCTTTTAAAAGTCCAATAGCGATTGCACCTTCTTGCAAAGACATACGAGCCATGTTTTGTGTTTTTAGCTCACCTGAGCACAACATGCTCAATGTTAGGTATTGTGATGGCCCACCGTCCGTTGTCGTGCGTCGTCCGTCGTCAACAATTTGTTAAAACAAAATCTCCTCCTAAAACACATGGCCAATTGTAACCAAACTTTACAGAAATGATTCTTAGGTGATCCCCTTTCAAAGTTGTTCAAAAAATTAAATTCTATTGAAAATTCTGCAATAGGAAAAACTTTAAAAATCTTCTTGTCAGAAACTATTTGACCTAGAGCTTAGATATTTGGTGTGTAGCCTCCTCTAGTGGACCTCTACCATGATTGTTCAAATTATGATCCCAGGGTCAAAATTGGCCTCGCCCAGGGATCACTTGATTTTACATAGACTTATACAGGAAAAACTTTAAAAACCTTCTTGTCAGAAACTGTTTGGCCTAGAGCTTAGATATTTGGTGTGTAGCATCCTCTAGTGGATCAGGGTCAATATTGGCCCCGCTGGGGGTCACTTGATTTTACATAGACTTTTATAGAAAAAAACTTTAAAAATCTTATTATTGGAAACTATTTGGCCTAGAGTTAAGATCTACGTTTTGGCCTGGTTTTGTTTTATCATAATTCTGTATTCAGGTGAGTGACCTGGGACCAATGGCCCCCTTGTTATGTTAGGCACATCTACACTCTATTGATACATGTTTATATTGGTCATTATGGTCAGTTGCACGAAGTGCACATGCTCGTTTTTGATTTTCAACGACCACTCTCAAAGTATGGTTTCGCATGGTTAATTTTGCATAAATTCATTTTGAGCAGACGACAAATTGGGGCATTACATATATAATCATTATCTAATGTGCATATTTTTAAAATAACACGTGTTTAATGCAAGTTTGTTTTTGGGGTACTTATAAGTTTCGTTAAGTGTACCTTTTAAACCATTAAAGGTCAGTACCTGTTCTGTTTTGAAGGAAGAAATGTGTGTGTGTGTTATTGCCTTTATTATACTCGCCACTGGACAATCTATATGGGCGAGTCCTCCTGAAGAGATTTTGGAGGGGGTATTGCATTTGAAATCTAAAATTACTAATCTACTGCAAGATACAGAAAAACATCCCAATTCCAGAAACTTCTCCTGGTTCTTTTGCATGCCAGGTGTAATTTTAAGCACTCATACAGTGAACCTTGGTTTAAAGTCTCATCCGATAGATTGTAGTAACTTTAGTTGTCCAGCCCTGGGAATCTAACCCACAGAAACAACATGACAAGTCTCGCACTCTAACCGTTTCATCTATCCAGGCTGTCTATGAAGAAACATAATTTGGTGCATCTTCTAAACAGTTAGCATCATGTTACAGTGTTTTAAGTGTAATGAAAAACTGTGACAGTTGTCAAGTTAGACTTACAGAATATATATATACAATGTATTTACAGTAAAGCAACTTAAAGACTTAATGTATGTTTAAAATTTCTACAAAAAAAACAAACAATGCAAGTTGGTAAGTGGCATTATGATCTTATGTATTTTCATTGAATGAAAAAGAAAATTTTAAACTCTTTCAGGTTGGGAAAGTGGCTGGCATGGTAGAACAGACATCATAATGGCTGATTTACCAGTTATAAATGTCTGCGAGATTCGTAGAGAGAAAGGGGGAGATTTACCACGTGTATCATCATCATTGTCTGTAGCTTCATCCATCTCATCATTGTCTGAAAAGGAATCCTTGTTTGCAATTGAAGGGGAAAAAAATGATGTGTTTACAGAGAATGAACTTTGTCAGATTTTCGCAGAAACAATCACGTTCTCATTTCTTAAAAATAAGGAAAATCCTGATGTTACACTAATACCTTCAATAGCTGTTGGAAAGAAAACATTTACTGTCACAATGTATGATTCAAAAGAAGATGTTTTCCTACAGGGAGGCGATGTGAGTCTGTTCGATATGGATGCTACATGTATAACTTCAGAGGCAATTGTTGCTATTTGGTTGACCCTAAATTACCAACTGTTTGGAACAGGTGTGCTAGATAGCATGGATAGGTCGGGTCTGCACAACCAGATTGATGTGAAATCACTTCAAACGGCAGTGAAGGCGCCATGTAAAAAAAATGATCCAGGTTGGATAGGTATAAGATCCTGGCAACAGACATTGATTTCAGCTTGCAAAAAGTGAATGATAGGGTCACATACTAAGGGTCAAAAACTACAAATGTAGGTAATCCGGTTATATCTTGGAAGAATTTTGTTATGACTCTAGTGATCACAATTTTAGCTCACTAATCACAAAGTGACATGGTGACATTTTGGGACCTCACAATGTCCGTCGTCGATGCACACATCTGTACCATTGCTTCAAATGATATCTCCTCCCAAGCCATCAGTCAGAATTTGATCAAACTTGGTCAGAGCCTTCCTGGCTTTCACCTGCAAAAGTTGATCAATTTTGATTTGTCCCAAAATTAGATCAGTAGGTCATATTAAAGGCTATCCTTTAAGTGACTTCTCCCATACTATTGCCTGGAATGTTACCAAACTTCATCAGAAGCATCTTTAGGTTGATGTCTACTAAAGTTGTGCAAAGAAATTTGATTGGTCAAAAATCTAGGTCAGTTTGTCAAGCTAAAGGAAATCATTTTAACAACATCTCTTTCCATAATAGGAGCTGGAATGTTACGAAACTTCATCTCAAGCATCCTTGGGTCTGTGTCTACCAAATTTGTTCAAAGAAATTTGATCAAACAACTAGGTCAGTTGTCAATGATAGAAAATGCTTTAAACAACATCTCCTGCCATAGGAGTTGGTGGAATGTTGCCAAACTTCACTAGAAGCATTGTACCCAAAATTTTTCAATGAAATTGGTTTAGCCCTAAAACTAGGTCACAAGATCAAATTAAATAAAAATGTTTAAACAGCATCTCAGACTAGCAGAGTTGTTTATAAAAATTTTATTGGTCCAAACCTACATATAGGTCAAATGAAAGGAATATCTTTAAACGACATTTTTCCTTAGTAACATTTGGAATGCTCCCAAACTACAACAGAAGCATCCATTGTTAAATGTTTACCACAAAAAAATTTGATTGGTCTAAAAATTAGGTAACTGGGACAAATAAGAGAAAAAATCTTGTCATAACTCTAGAGGCCACATTTTAGGCCTAATCTTAATGAATATTGGTGACAATTTTCATATTGATGACCTCCAGGTCAAGTATGAAACTTGGTCACATGAGTCAGAAATAGTTCACTGGGTCAAGTAATAGAAAAAGCTTGTCAGCATTCTAGAAATCACATTTTATCATAATTTTCACAATGTTTGTGAGAATTTTTATCTGGTTTGTATGTTGAGCTACAGTCTTGAAACTTTGATCACATGTACAGTTTTGAATGCAAAATGGAATGATGACCTAGATTTTGACATGGTGAACTACTTTTTACATATGTTGAGCTACATGTAGATGTATTCATAATTCCATTTATTAATCATAAGCCAGAAGTGTTATTTGAGGCTACAGTTAAGGTATAATTTGTTTTGAAAATAAATGCAAGTCTTTGATTGTAAAATAAAGTATTTTTAAGTAGAAAGTGCTATAATAAATGTATATGACAGTGACATCTTTGTATATTTTTATACCCCCAAAAACGAAGTTTGGGGGGGTATATAGGAGTCACCCGGTGGTCGGTGGTCGGTCGGTCGGTCCAGACGTCCGTTGCATTTTCCTTGTCCGGAGCATAACTTGAAGACTAATGGTTGGAATTCAATATAACTACATACAATGGTCAAGCACATTGAGAGGAAGTCCAGTGCACGAGAACCATAACTCTATCTTGACTAATTACAGAGTTATTGCCCTTTGTTACTTTTCCTTGTCCGGGGCATAACTTGAAAACTACTGGTTGGAATTCAAAACAACTTCATACAATTGTCAAGCACAATAAGGGGAAGTGCAGTGCACAAGAGCCATAACTCTACCTAAGTAATTACAGAGTTATTGCCCTTTGTTACTTTTCCATTGCTTTCTTTTGTCCGGACCATAACTTGAAGACAAATTGTTGGAATTCATTATAACTTCATACAATGGTCAAGCACATTGAGAGGAAGTGCAGTGCACAAGAACCATAACTCAATCTTGACTAATTACAGAGTTATTGCCCTTTGTTACTTTTCCTTGTCAGGGGCATAACTTGAAAACTACTGGTTGGAATTAAAAACAACTTCATACAATTGTCAAACACAATAAGGGGAAGTGCAGTGCACAAGAACCATAACTCTATCTAAAGTAATTACAGAGTTATTGCCCTTTGTTACTTTTCCATTGCATTCTTTTGTCCGGACTATAACTTGAAGACTAATTGTTGGAATTCATTATTCATTCATACAATGGTCAAGCACATTGAGAGGAAGTGCAATGCTCAAGAACCATTACTCCATCTTGACTTATTACAGAGTTACTGCCCTTTGTTACTTTTCCTCGTCCAGAGCATGACATTAAAAACGACTGGTTGGAATTCAAAACAACTTCATACAATGGTCAAGCACAATAAGGGGAAGTGCAGTGCACAAGAACCATAACTCCATCTTGACTTTTTACAGAGTTATTGCCCTTTGTTACTTTTCCATTGCTTTTTTTGTCCGGAGCATAACTTGAAGACTTACGGTTGGAATTCAATATAACTTCATACAATGGTCAAGCACATTGAGAGGAAGTGCAGTGCACAAGAACCATAACTCCATCTTCAGTATTTACAGAGTTATTGCCCTTTGTTACTTTTCCTTGTCCAGAGCATAACTTAAAAACTACTGTTTGGAATTCAATACAACTTCATACAGTTGTCAAGGACATTAAAAGGAAGTGCAGTGCACAAGAGCCATAACTCCATTTTGACAAAATACAGAGTTACTGCCCTTTGATACTTTTCCTTGTCCGGAGCATAACTTAAAAGGTACTGGTTGGAATTCAAAACAACTTCATATAATGGTCAAGCACAATAAGAGGAAGTGCAGTGCACAAGAACTATAACTCCATCTTCAGTATTTATAGAGTTATTGCCCTTTGTTCCTATTCCTTGTCTTTCTGGACTTACTACAGAGTAATCCAATAAAACTTCATTAATGGCCAACACATTGAAAGAAAATGCAACATACAAGAACCACAACTATCTTTAATTGCCCACAACCATAACTCTATATTTCAATTCTTTTACAAAGTATTCTGTTACTAGTAACATCCTCATTTCTGAAGCAGTCTTGTGGGGGTATTAATCACATTTAGTGATAGTTCTAGTTTAATTTTAAGGTAGTACTATAATTGACTTGGTTTTATCATCATTATTTTCACATACTCATTTTTGTTAATCAGATGGGCTGTTTCTTCAATAAGCTTTTACAAATGTCCCAATTTTATCTAAGACACAAAGAAAAGTCTAAAATTTTGACCTCTGTGGTTAAGGGAAAAAAAAAGTATGCGGTCTTTTATCTGCTCCCAGCTGAAATTAAATTACTACAAAACTGACGAAATTTACCGTATGCGAAACGAAAGTGTAACAGGATATACGGTATTGTTATTATGATAACCTTTGGCATTATATACCTAGCTTTTCCCATTCTTTATTTTAGTGAAACAATAACGATGTCATGTTTATATTGTAATATTTAAACAATCTAATTAGCGTACACACATCTCATGGAAATATGCAAAATTTATATTGCATGTCACTCGTAGATCAATTGTTATTTTTAATATTTTATCGCCTGCAAACAATATCAAAATCTCAAGCTTCAATCTTAGAATGCCCTTCTAAACATAATCACAGACTAAAATCCAGAAAAATGGCAACCGTGCTATATTTCAAGGTGTGTCTAAAATTGTTTCATGACTGCTCTGTTTCAGTGTTGATTGTAATAGAAATGGTTGGTTTTGGTTCTCTCCTCCGTCCTTAAGTTAATATTACAGGGATGAGAAACTCTGGTTTCAACTTTCAAAATGACTTCATACACTAGTTGTTATTTTGGTTTTCTGGCCTCCGTCTTAAACTATTAATACAGTTATGCTTCATCTTTAAGATTACTTATTCGATTCGTTTTCTTCTACGTAGTAAGGGAAAGCATGCTCTAAGTTTCTGGTTTTAAAACGACTTCAGTGTATACACTTAATTTTTGGTTGTTTCTCCTCCGTCGTAATATGACTATCACAGGGATCATTAACATACAACCAGAGATCATCACACTACCACCAATATAAAATGAGGTTTTGTAACTACTACTCCATTGGTACAGTAAACCTGAAGAAAAATAAGTAATTTATTATCTACAAGAACCCTCAGCACTCGCGCTCCGAATTAAAACGCACAAGTATATTTAGCATCGACTTCTAAGACGCCGATTTCCCAGCTCTGCTGGTGAAGGGAGACCTCGGGAGGCTTTTAGGCAATCACGGACATCTGAGTAGAACTACTAACATTCAGTTAACCAACTATGTAGTTAGCTTACCTCTGTATTTATAGAATGACTCTAAATTTCCGTGCGAGGATTCGCTCCTATAATGGGTAGAGGCAAATAGTTCAAAGTCTACTACCTTTAACCACTTCCCCACTATATCAAAGGCAAAGGTTATGCCGCAGGTTCCTCTTGATAATTGAAATAAATAATGAAAATGGTATGAAAAAAGATGGCAGTAGAGAATAAATAGTTTCCATATTAAGTCAAAACATTCAGCAAACATCAATGAGCGTCAAAAAATTGTAAAGTAAAAATAAATACTTTACAGTTAGGCCTAGTTTGATGTTAAATGCACATGCCAAAGAAATTAATAAATTCTTACTTTTGGAATGGCTAACACGAATTTTATAACATTTAAAGTATGGTGTTAGAGCATGTTAGATGCTTGTTACCTGAAGGAATTAGCACTAAATGTGAAATAATTTAGTCATAAATGTAGCGAAATGTAAACAAAGTAGTATTTTGACTTCTATACAAAAACTAAGTTAATTGACTAATGAGTAACGTTTTGGAAATTATAAAATTACACAAAAATAAATAAGTCTCGAGGAATGAAATTAAAAGCATGTCAGCGGCATAATGTGCTTTGAAAATGATACGTTATTTGATCACTTATTCTTTATAGTTAGTTTGATTAGGCCTTCTGGCCAAGTTTTTGTAAAGCAATTTTCACATTGTATTTCTGCTGCCATCCGTTATATGAAAGAGGTCATAAACATTCTGAATGAAGAACTCAAACTCATGTGTAATTTACAATACATGTAGACAAAGACCTACCAGCAAGCGGACCTGCGACCGTACTTCCTGTAGCCTTAGCAACTTGTCCAAAACCAAGTCCATCCGAAATGTTTTCAGTTCCTACAAGGTTCATTATAACTTCCGGTGTATAGCCACCGGTGACACAGTAAGTACTTCCCAACAAGGCAGCCATGAAAAGTATCCATATTTTATGTTGCATCAATGGAAAAAGAATCATTACTGTACCACAAACAAGTAAAGAAAATGTGTATGTGACACACGTGTCCGGTTTCCGGAAGATACCAAGAACGCTATGGCAAATTTTACCAAAACAGTTTGCAAGACCACATACAGTCAAAGCTAAGGAGGTTACAGTCATGCTGAGATCAAAGGACAAAATCAGTGCAGGTAAATGAAGGAATATGATAGAACTTGATAAATTACAGAATACACAATGAGCGGCAAACAGCATAAAGTATGTGTCCTGTAACAACCATAGCTCTATAGCACGTTTTGAAGATTGTTTAGGTTCTGTCGGATATAGAGAACAAGCAAGAGCACATAAGTTAAATGAAATTCCTCCTATTATAAGTAAACAGCCTCTCCATCCAAACGTTTCTGTTAAAGATGGAATAAATGCCGCATACACGGCCATTCCCGTTGTAACACCTATTGACGATATCAGATTAGCTATAAGTCTATATTTCAAGAAGTACTTATTGATAACTGTGATAAAAGCAACGTAGTGAACACCATTTCCAATACCTGAAATAAGACAGAAATAAATTATAATAGGTGTTTGGGTAAATGTAATGTTTACTGTAGATAAATTGAAAGAAACATCTTTTATATTTGTCTTGATTGCTATTATTTTGCTATCTAGAACACAATAGGACGATCAGATGATTTACGTTACATGCGATCCCGATTCGTAAAAGACAATGATAACCAAAATAGCTGTATGATTAAGCGTTGACTAGAAATAGACTTGTGTAAATATGAGAATCCTCATTATAATTCGGATCAATTTTCAAACCTGCAACGATTCCGTACAAAACAAACACCATGTAGAAATTTGTCGACAGAAAGCACAATGCTAAACCTGCTGATGAGCACAGTCCACCTATCACAGCACACAATCTACACCCAAACTTGTTAGTAAGTACACTTCCCAGTGGACCTGAAACATACAGATAATTAATGATTTTATTCGGATATTTGGGGGTCTACGTGGTGTTTTAGTGAACGTCCCTAGCTTCGAAATCTAGGACTGTGGATTCTTACGTTGACGAGGTTAAAAAGGTCGTTGGATCTACTCGGGTGCCTTAATTACCGGTAATGCAAGAAACGTCTTAAACAATCAGTCCAGGTGAGAAGCCACCATAATGAGGTTTACATTGACAGCTTGTCACAAAACCAAATCATTAAGAAAATGATAGTATACACAAGTGCTAGCTAACACATGGCTGTTGGCTTACGTTCGAAATGTGAGCCGCGTCACGACAAAACCAACATAGTGCGTTTGCGACTAGCATGGATCCAGACCAGCCTGCGCATCCGCGCAGTCTGATCAGGATCCATTCTGTTCGCTATCAGTTTCTTTACTTGTTATAGGGTCTGTAAGCGAACAGCGTTGATCCTGATCAGACTGCGCGGATGCACAGGCTGGTCTGGATCCATGCTGGTCGCAAACCTATTATGTTGGTTTTGTCGTGACTTGGCTCAAATATATTTTACATGTAATCCGATCATGAAGCTGTATCTATACTTATTAACTATGGACTTCCAACTTCCGCATCGGAAACTTCGCACAGGGAAAAAAATGAAAATATTGAAATATAGAGTATATGTTATCCACCTACCAGTTAGAAACCAAAGTGTAAGAGGTAAGTTACACAGCCATGATACAACCACCTCGTTTTTATCAGGAAACTGCTCCTTGAATATAGTGTAGAAAATTCCAGCTGTAAACACGTACCCACCAAGAATCATCTGAAGTCATATGAATGGATGATAATAGTTAAAGGGTATAAAGCTAATCTAATAAAATATTTTTATAAAATTTGTTGACAGTAAAACTACATGTATATTGTTTTCATAATCTTATTTTTTCGTAAGAGTTGCAAGTACGAGTTTTTCTTCAAGTGTCTTCAAACAAACGTAAGTAGACAGTTTGCTAGGATAAACAACAAATTGTCCGAGACGAAGCCGACAATAACTTGTTGCTTGTCCTGACAAAGAAGACATTTTGAAGAAAATACGAGTACCTGTATCTGACGTATGTACGACAATGAAATATAAAGAACACATATATAAATAAACGCAATTAATAAAAACTAGATCTAATTGAAAATAATGATCTTGTTGAACATATAAAACTACAGAAACTATTAACATGCCTATAATATTGGTAGTTGAAGGTGTGGACAAATTATATTCGCAAGGAATTTTCGTGCACTTATTTCAATCGGACAATCATTCACTTTCATTCTTTAACAAACAATGTAAAAACGAATCTCTTCAATAAGGCAAAAATGGCCTAGTGACCTATTTTGTTCTTAAATAAGTGTGTGAAGTTTAAACCCATTCCCCTCATTAGTGAACACATTATTGAAGCGCGAATGAAGATGATGAAATAGAATATATTCTAAGAGAAATTGAAGGAAATAATTATTTTTAGCATGACTTATGTTAGGTAACTCGGAATTTGAGTACATTTCTAAGAATTGCAATTTTGAAATGTTTAAAATCAAATCTTTATGCGAACTAATCTGCAGCATAGAAAACAATAGGTTTTTGTAGATATGCGTCATTACTCATTACTTCTCTATATCCCCTTTCCTCGCACTCTTCGCGACATGTCAGGTCAAATCGTTCTAAGTACCAGGGGTGATTGGTTAACTCGGGAGCCGGATGTTTTGTTAGAAAAATGTCTTAAAGGAAGCTGGCACATCTGGCCTTAAAGGAAGCTGGCACATCTGAACAACGAGATGGTATAGAAAGGCAGTAAGTCAAGTTGCCGTAGATGAGTGTATAAACACCGGACCAGCAAGTTTGCAGATTTTCTGGTCCATATATGGTATAAACCGATAATTGAAAAATCAGCAGTGTTTTTATAGTAACATTTATGTATATAACCGGCAATGATTGAAAGTAAAAGTGCAGACCTTTTTTAAACATAATTATGCTTATACATACACACGAATATGATTATGAGTGCAAACATTTTGTTTAGCTGGCATTACGCACATCCTTGGGTATATATTGAGAGATAGGTTAAGTCAAAATAAGTTAACATTTTACCATAATTCCTTTCAATTATACAATTTACTTCGCTTCAATGATAAATCTGAGGAAATTTCTATAATATCAATTTGAAATTACCTGTTACTTTCCATTATAAAAATAGTGTGTCAATCTTTTTATATGGATCTTTAATCCTTGATATTTAAAAAAAAATCAACTGTTGGTCAATCCATATTTTAACAGTCTATCTTTTGAAATATTTGGTCAAAATTAAGTTGAACTTGACAATGAAAAAAAAAACAACAAACAAAAAACAAAAAAAACAACGACCATACGTTCACTTTCAGGGAAAGTAAGGGCTGAACTAGTTTCTCCCCCAATATATACATATATAATACTTGAATACTAGTACACGTATATTCGAGATTGATTTAATGTCATAGTGCACTCAGTTCTTATACGTGCATATACTTATGTAAATTGAGATTTCTCATGCATATCTACTCTGAAATGATATCTGATGTAAGTTAAGAGTGCAAGCTGATTTTATACTGTATTTTAATGTATGCACTCAAGTAAGCTGTCAATGTCGGGGGTACATTAAGGGGTTTAACCGTTTAGCAATGGGCTTTTTTGCATGTGTCATTCGCTTTTAAGGTAAAATACTAACAAATTTCTTTTATAGTGGCATTTTGAAAGTATTCGTTTTCAAATCTCAATTAATTTTTGTAGCAGATATATAATATTATATCATAGAGATCAAGCTTTATTTACGGTTATGTCATTGTAAATATACTGTACAATACCATGGATTTACATTACATGGTAATATAATTCCGTGACAGTACTTGTAACTGTAAAAAAGCAGCCCCTTTATCGAACTGAAAATAAATTTGACCAAAACAAAAAGAAAACTTTCAGATTAACAACATTTATAAGACAAAAGTAGGCCTATATGTTTGCAAAATAATGCCGCACTGACAAGTGCTGACTAGCGCATCGATGGCTCTCTTTTATTATATATATACCTTATAAGATGATTGGTCATGCCAAATCTAGATTCTGAGATATTTTCGTTCTGGGTCAGGATCTCGCTTGTAGAGGCGAGATATTGCTCAAAATAGCATAATATCTCGTCGCGCTGTACAATTAGTCAATGCAATATCAAGATTTCAAGATTTTATTCAAAACCAAGGCATATAATATGCATAAGGTTATGATATATCAACAATATAATAAACAGTTATTCAAAAGTGATTAACAAAACATATATACATAAAATTATATAATAATTAAATCAATTTGACTAATTCATATCGGTATTTGACTAAACTTTATTCTTTGGACATGATTTGTCTTACACAGATGTTATCTAAATTGTTTATATGCTAATACACTCATACAGGTTGAGAAAATCATGCCTTACAGGAGAATTTGAAATAATAATTTTGCAGAATAATGCAAGTTTTAATAAAGTTGAATGGTCAGAGCAATTCATTAAAGATTCTTAATTATAAATATTAGGATGATTTGAGAATTTTGAATCAATAAACTTTTTACGAAGAGACTTTTAAAAGTGACATTCAAATAAGTACATGTAATGAAATTCATCAAGAGATTGTTTTGGACATAAATGACATATTCTTTGATTTTTTTTTTCAAATTGTAAATGTCTATCTTTCTCTATAGGTAATAGGTGATTCATAGTTCTGAATTTACAAAGTATTCTACAGAGATTGAAAGGTAATATATCTAAGTATTTCTCGATACAAAAATCGTTCTTATACACACGATAAATTAAACATTTAGGGGACTCATTTATGGTTCCTTTTCAATTCTCTAAGAACTGGTCTTTCAATCTCTGTTTCACAATAGTTCTAAAACTATTTAAGTTACCAATATATTGATTATAAAAATAGTTATAAAGTATTTTAACAAATGAGAATCAAGGAGAGATCATGACATTATTAAAATGTAAAGAAAGAACTGTATTATACAATATTTTACATATTTTATCATATTTTGAGGTTATTAACTTACTCCAGTAACACAATATTCTTGTTTTAACCTGCAGTTTTAGAAGACAAAGTACTGTTTCTCCATATATCATACAATTGGGTGTCGACCTTTTCAAATTAAGTATGAATTTACAAAAACGTAACTGTAGTTGCTCGATAATTTGTACATTTTCTATACCCCCACACCTCACAACCATATAATAAAATAGGTACAACTATCTGTGACTCAAATGCATTTGAACAGATATGGGTAAAAACAGCTTTCTAGCATTTTTAATAACAGAAAACATAGCTCTTCTAGCCTGATCAACAAGTTTTTTCTTGGCTTTACCAAATTTGCCATTGCAATTAAATAGTACACCTAAGTATGTGAAACTTTCTACAGTTTCCAGCTGTGCACAAGTATGAAGGCATATTCTATTGACAGTTTTATGTTTTATTATATGTAATGATTATAATATTTGAAAATGCTAAAATTATAAGCGCCCTAACCTTCCTTTGGGCAATACACGATAGTAATAATTTGATTATAACATGTTCTACTTACAAACGCTAACATCAACATCATGGGGGTGGAACCCCATATGTATCTCAAAAATGAGCATCGGTAAAAATTATATGTGAATTTCCGCTGCATCAGATGTGAAACATAACACCAGATGTGACTGTAAAAATAGGTCAATCGCAGGGTAAGTTTTCATCTTTTTAAACATTTATTTAAAATTCAATCCTTTTTTTAAGAAAATCGAAATGTGATTCTACCCTCCTGACTCTCCTCTATATTACCCATTTTTGTTTTGGATTTCTATGCAGTCTTCATCGAGATATTCTTTCCGTCGTGGGTTCTGGTGTGTCCAAAACATGCAATGTGAATGAAGAAAATGTCACTAAACGGACTAAAAAAAAAAACAGAGATTTTACGAAATCTCACTACAGACCGATGCTTAACATTCAGACAAATCCTGATTTAAACATTTATTGAGATTTGGCTACAAACGAAGGAATCGCTGCTCAAAATTGCATTTGAGCTCCATATGTGCTGAAGAGATCCATAAGTGATGTAGAAAACCATCTACAAAACTACGGACCACTTCCATATAATCATTAAATAGCCAATGTATAGAAACAATTAAGGTTTCGTAGCTTTGGCTGAAAGTTCAATTGTAACATTAGTGTGTTTGATCATCACAATGACAGGGCTCACTAACATTAGAAATACTAAAAGGCCCGAGTACATGAAAATGTTAACGCAGAGCGGATAGTACTCGTATGATAAACAATTCACTTATAAAGGATATGTAACTTGAACAAACCGAACTGAAAGTATTGAACTTTGTATATTTCTATAGTAATGCTTACATTCATAAAAATATCTATCACTTTAAGATTCCACAAGATATAATTATAGCGACAGACTGTTATGTGGAAATATCATGGCCTGGTGCGACATCGAAGGTTTTTCTTTACAGGATATGGGCCGAGAACATTGTCTGTAAGGAAAAACCCGAGATGCCAACCCAGGTCATGATATTTCTACATAATAGTCGAGTTCGATATATTATAACTGTTTGATCGCATGATAAACAGAAATGAGAATTTTAATAAACACAAAATTTCAATTTATAATGGCTTCTCTTCATAAATTAAATTCCCCACTCGGAACCTCGGTTACTTTTTATGTAAAGCGTCAATGACCAATATTGTAAACCCCACACCATAAAAGCCATTCAGAAGTATGCTGGGTGTTCCTGGTTGGTTGGATGACCAAAGGCACAGAAAAGCATTGCTGTAAATAATTAGGACACGCCAGTATTACGCTAACCGCCGTTTCATCAACATTTTTAATGACATACCGAAAGATGGATTTTTAAATTCATATCAATAAGTCGAGTATTAACGATTATTGTTATTTTCTCGGGGACTTGAAATGGATAATATTGCAAGTAATGCAACTCATGAAAAGATTCATAGAGGTAGTGCCTCTTAGCGCAAAATAACACGAAGAGAAAAAAAAGGTTTATAAACAAGTACGTCCATGCACCAGACAAAACTTTATACAAACCCATAACCACATAACCTATCCCCAATCTGAATAAGTTAATAAATTCGTCTTTTGCTTTTTTTTTTTTTTTTTTTTTTGGGGGGGGGGGGGGGGGTTGGTTCAGCCTAAATTTTAGTACAGTCCAATGACCCATGTGTACTGTGCGTTATTGTCAACAGAGCATGCTACTGGCGTATAACAGTTGAGGAGTATCAAAGAAAAATCAACGCACCATGTGAGAACTGTATTTAATAGATGTTCACTCACAAACACAAATATTTGCTTACTGGTTACCATGCAGTGATATACAAGTAAACATCATCAAAAGAACTGTCCTATAAGAATTATTCTACTCTAGTTCGCGTAAACAACGCAAAATCAAATGAATATTTTAAATGAAAATGGTACCAATTCAAACACGCTTCACATTACTCCCTTATTAAGCAGACAGTGCAGTCGAGTGAATAATTAGTTAATTAATTAATGCATGACGGCATAAAAAGGGAATGATTGCAGTACACATGACGTCAATAAATCAAAATAAGCAAGGCCTTCCCACCATATCTACGTATTTTCAAAACCTTTCGTCTTTTATCTCTTTCTATATGGATACTATGTTAATCAAAATTCTCGTGAAAATGTGTCCATTTCGGGTAATAGTTTTTTTTATTACAGAATGATACACGTCAAAAGAATAAATTATAGATTGCTTTATGAAAGTGATACGTAATTATGTTGATATTTTTATATTATGCACATATGGATCTCTTCAGCACATATGGAGCTCAAGTGCATTTTGAGCAGCGATTCCCTTCGTTTGTAGCCAAATCTCAATAAATGTTTAAATCAGGATTTGTCTGAATGTTAAGCATCGGTCTGTAGTAAGATTTCGTAAAATCTCTGTTTTGACATTTTCTTCGTTTTGGACACACCAGAACCCACGCCGGAAAGAATATCTCAATGAAGACTGTATAGAAATCCAAAACAAAAATGGGTAATATAGAGGAGAGTCAGGAGGGTAGAATCACATTTCGATTTTCTTAAAAAAAAAGATTGTATTTTATATAAATGTTTAAAAAGATGAAAACTTACCCTGCGATTAACCTATATTTTTTTAGAGTCACATCTGGTGTTATGCTTCACATCTGGTGCAGCGAAAATTCAAGATGCTCATTTTTGAGATACATATGGGGTTCCACCCCCGTGTAACATATGTGACTGTGATACTTGATTTGTTTAATCAATACATGTAACTGACATCATGGGTATTGATCGATGTGCATGGCATATGTATCGAGAGATAAAGAAATCTTATAAATTAAGTTATCAATGCATCCTTGAAAAAACAAGCATACCGTTTAAAATATATAACACATATTACAACAACGAATTTTCGGATGAAATATATGATATATGATTTAAATTTTGTTCTTAATTATATAAATTTATGTACCTAAGTACATGCATGCATGTCTGCATCTGTGACACACATTTAAAAATAAGGCCAACGAGATGCATTATTTCAGGCACGAACGGGCACCTGAGTAGAACCACTGACGTTCCGTAAGCTAGCTGGATAGCTTACTTGTTACTGGGTATGAAAAAAGAAATGTATCATATAAATACCTGAGCTAGGAAAGAAGAAATTCCGACCACCAAACTCCAGTGACTATCAACATATCTAGGTTTATAAGCCATCGTAATTTTAACACATAGTAAATTCCTATGAGCCCCCACTGACCTCCAAAATTATCACTTTACGTAGGCTATTTATAATAAGTGAATGTAATCATTGGTTGAACATTGAAATGTTTCTGTCCTACACGACATATATAGATCTAGATCTAATACCGCGATTTTTTTTTAATTTTAAAGTTGTCCTGTAGTGTAGTAATATCAGCTGTTAAGTTTAGATATACATTTTATGCATTCTTAGTTACATTATGTCTAACCAGCGTCTCGATGTTAGGGATTTAATTTTAGGACCTTGTAGAGAATGTAGACACGTGTTTGTTTTTTATCGCTATTTTGTGAAACCTACAGCACCAACACAGTATAGTTTATCACAGGAGCTTGAAATTCTATCAATAATCGTTCTAAAGTCCGATTAAAAAAATTCACAGCACTTATACAATGGACATTATACTGACGGATCACTATACATGTAGAGTGAACATTACTTAAAGCTCAATGTTATATAAATTACAACGATTATTACTACTTATACAGTGAACATTACTCACGAATCACTTCTTATACATATGTACATTGAACATAACTCACGAATCACTACATTTAACAATGAACATTACTCACGAACACTTTTTATACAGTGAACATTACTTTCGGATTAATACTTATACAAAGAACATTACTTACGGATTATTACATATGCAGAGAGCATAACTTTCAAATTACTACATATACAGTGAAAATAACTTACGGGTCACTACAGATACAGTAAAAATTACTCAAGGATCACTACTTTTACAATGAACATTACTTACGAATCACTTCTTATACTGTGAACATTACTATAGAATCACTACTTATATAGTGAACATCACTCACGAATCATTACTTATACAGTGAACATTATTCATATATCACTATTTATACAGTGAACATACTCACGGATCACTACATTAACAGTGGTGATTACTCACGAATCACTACATATACAGTGAACATTACTCTCGGATCACTTCATATACAGTGAACATTACACACGGATCACTTCTTTATACAATGAACATTACTCACGAATCATTATAAAGACAGTGAACATTGCTCACGGATCACTACTTTTATATGAAAATTACTCACAGATTGCTACAAATACAGTGAACATTACTCACGGATCACTACATATACAGTGAACATTGCTCACCGATCACTACGTATATATGAAAATTACTCACGAACAACTACATATACAGTGAATTTTGCTCACGGATCACTACATATACAGTGTACATTACTCACGGATAACTACTTATACAGTGTACATTACTCACGGATCACTACATAAACAGTGTACATTACTCACGGATCACTACATATACAGTGTACATTACTCACGGATCACTACATATACAGTGTACATTACTCACGGATAACTACTTATACAGTGTACATTACTCACGGATCACTACATAAACAGTGTACATATAACTCACTCGTCACTGTTATGATGTTAGCATTGTTATATAAATTACAACGATAAAAGTTATAAAGCATTCTAGCTGTTGAAGCATAAATCATGTAACAAACTATTACGTTTATAATTACAAAATGTTATCTTTCTATATAGCATTTCAGAATCCATTAAAAAAACACTCACAAAATGAAACTCATCTTCGATATCAGAAAAGTAATATGCAATGTTTTTTTTTCTTTCTTTTTTTCAGCTTATTGAAAGTTTATTTTGTACATTTTGTTGTATGATTATGAAATAATTTAGATTAATGGCATGCATGTACATAGCTCTCATGTTCTAAATTGACATTACGCATCCTGTCAATCAAGCTGGCAGGGGTCTTATAGATAAGCCAGTCGGCGCTGAAAAATCCGCCATTTTCCTTAGACAAGCTATTTGTATAAGACAATGGTGCAGCTGTATCTATATTGAAATTATTTTGATTTTTTGTCAATTTAAAGCTATTTTATCGGTATATCAAAGTTACCAACTATCCTGACATATTGACAGATGGAGTCAGTTAGTTCATTTTACAAAAAAAAAATATTAGTAACTTTGTATATATGAAGATAAAAAGTAATATAGCAGGTACAAAAGCAGAGACATAAATATTATCTAGATGTTGTCTACATCTCTGACGAAAGTTAAAATAGAGAGAAATAAAGAATCCCTAAAGAAAGCCCAACACCACACAACTGAAAATGTTGCAGGCTCGGTTTGATTGAGCCTGTTCATGGACGGTAATGGAATGTGCAAGTAAATTTGTTCCGTCTACGACCCCTAGCACCGATTTAAGCAGTATTCAACATTTAACATGACCTGGTGAATTTAGAATTTTGAAACATCCGCATATGTGTTCATATGGTGGTTATCATGGAACCTTCAATGTGACATGTAAGTGCCATTCCATGAAAAGCGGCATAAGGTTCCCAAATAAAAACAATGCGTTTGCCCTAAATGGCGGGATTTTGAAGGGGATCAGAGCTTATGAAGCCTGGCTATACCACAATGTATTAAACAAGGAAAAAGCTTAACAAATACTCTATTCCTGCCTTTATTACAATTATGTCTATTCATAATCACATACTATAATATAAGGTCTGATATAACATTTTTTGTTCGTTCTTAACATAGTGCCAATAAAATGCTGCAGTAGAAAAAAGTACGTGCAAATAAAATGAGAGAATATGCAATGAAGATTTTAAATATGTGAAATTATCCTATCTAAATATTTCTATGAAAGCTCAATGAATTAAGATTAAATATTTAGATACATCTGCTTCAATAACATCATACCTGATCACGGTTTTAATTTAAAACCGAGGTCTCACCGTCTGGTGTATGCAAAACTTATTTTGAAGTGAATAATATTGCGTTTTATCACGAAACATTTCTAATGTAAATTTTCATATAATCATATATCATACTACAAAGTTACGCAAGGGCAATTTTCTCATTCAATTTATGCACAAATGCATTATAATTATATAAGTGATTCCGCGCATAAAACCCTCAAAACATTTGTAAATGTTACTGTGTTATTGATATTATTTTACTATTTATATGTTCCGCTACTTCAGTTTTAACTATCTTTTAATTTGTAAACTAAAATGATATTTTATCAGAAACATCTTCCTTGAAGTCAACGAGAAAAAGAACAAGATCTTTGCCAAACGTTTTATTCATAATTAATGCATGAATGCAGTTATTTATTACTTTTTCAAATACCATAATACATTGAACTATCCAAGAAAAGCATTTTATTTTATGTATACCAATTTATATAAGGTAAATTCATTAGTCTCTAAATAGCATAATACTTTCCTGTAAACGTCGGTACCGTGTTTCGTCAAAGGTTCTAAATGACCGGGTCACGTAAATCAGTGGGCGGAGCAATCTCTTCTCTGGCGTAATGTCAATTGTGTTTAAGATGTTAAGATATTGTTTAACATTCTGTTTTTAAAAGGCTCTTATGGTCACTCCATTTCTTTTCCGCAACATGTCATGAACCTGACTCGAATAAAGATGATGATTAATGACAGGAATGATTATTTCATAGGAGTCAAAATTCTACTCATTTGTCATTTTTGTTTCTGTGAGAATGTCATTATGCTTTGACAGGGGGTCATGCTATTATGTCCGGGGAGTCACTATGTTTCAAAAGGAAATAATGATCAGAGATATATTGTTCTATGCGTACACCAGTGTTACACTGGCTATAGATGCTTTCATACTATCAGAACGTTTTGCTCATGGTCACACCACTACTAAAGTAGGCCTGCTAATTGCAAAAGATACCGTTAAATACGACCATTGCATCCCATGCATATATTAATAATGTACAGACCGGTATGAGGTCAAACAAAGTGATAGTTTAGCATCATCTAAACATTGTATATGTTCAGGTATGGTACGAGTTGGAGTATTGAGTTTATAAGTTTACTATAATTCTGTTGTGAACAATCTAAAATATTTTGAACTGTGACCTCCGTCTGGGCTTTTACAATATCAATGGACCAAAATATAAATCAACACATAAATACACTGAAAATGTTGCGAGCTCAGCTTGATTGAACCTTTTGGTGGTAAATGCAAACTACCCTCCACGCCCCTCACCACCGCACCGGTATATTCAGAATTTAAAATTGAGAAAATCATCTTTGATAAGGTAACATTCGTGTGAAAAACCCCTATACAACCCGCATAATTATCATGGAATAAATTGTCGTGAACCATTCATGAACAGCAAATTTATCTATCCATCAAAACTTGATTTTTAATGTTAAATACTTAAAATATGATAAACAATTAAGATCAACAAGGAAAGGCGGCGTTCAATGAACGCAACCCCACACGACCCAGCAACAAGAACCAGTGGCAAGGAGCCCAGGCGGACCCAACAAAAACAGGACAGGGCACGGACAGGTTAATCACTGAAATGATTAATGATTTGTAACTAATAAGGAATTCAAAGAAAACAAATAAATTTAATGATTGAATAATAGGAAATAATTTGTAACTGATAAGGGAAACAAATAAAAGATTGAATAACAGGCCCACAAAGGGCACAGGGGGACAGGAGACCGGGGAAAGGGGGGTAAATCAAAGAAATAAAAACTAGGGGCAAACTTAAAACTTGTTTATACAAATGAATCTCAATTGGTAAATGAGAAAATAAAAAACAAAAAAGAGAAAAAAAGAAAAGAAAATGAATAATCCTTATTGACGTAAATTATTCTTTAAATATGATAAAAGATAAAAGTTGTTATAGCATCAGTTCTTTATATATATATAAAAGTTTTTGTAAATTTATTTGTAAATGTAAATTTATGGCAAAGCGTACATAAGATATATTAGAAATCTAAATTCGTAGCTTATCTTATTTTTGCCAACAAATTCGTCGGTCCTTTTCATAATTGCTTTCAAGCGTCGCGCACAACAAACATTCACATAAAAGATATGTAGATAAAAGTACCATTTCTTTGATTTGTATTGAAATGTGGGTACAAATTATTTATAAACTAGATGTTTGCTTTAAGTATAAAACTTCCTTTTCATCCGCCTTTAAAAAATCAAGATTTTAGTTTCAGGAAGTACAATTAAAACAAGTTGTTTTTACATTATATTTTAAACATTATGATAATTTATAGCACTATAAAATCGCTTAAACCTTATCTTACAGCTTAAAAAATATTCACACTTTTTTGGATTATATTATACCGAAAGGAAGTAGCTGATTCATCTTATCTTCTTTTGCGTTGTAATATTTATCTTATTGTATATAAATGTTATAATATGCATTTACATATATATGAAACTGTTTTGGGAATTAACCTAGTAACTACTTTCATACAGAAGGAAAACACGTCAACGTCAATACGGTTGAAAGGTAAGATAAACATGTATATGATGATAATTTTGTAACTTTTCCGATGTAACGAGCATGCGTACCCAGTAATGAAACACTTTTGCTCTGGATTATGTTATTGATAGATAAATTATTTTAAATAATTGACAATATGATGTCATCTATTGTAAAAAAATTTCATGTAAAATTATTAAAGCATGCATTGCTATTCAATTTGATATTATAATGAAGTGCACTATTAGATTAATGTCGGGATCAACTCATTACTGTTACCTTTATTGAAAGCGTCTTTAAATTCACTATCCATTTACATATCATCTTATCCAATAATTTTCTTGAAACTTAGTACATCTTAATCATATTTGAGTCTGGAAATTACGAATTAACTTACATATCAAATTCAAACAAGCTGTATTTAGTTTGGATTTGAACTATTTTATTATATTTCAGTCATTGCTGTACAACCTTGATTGAGACCGGACTGGTAATGACATGGCGATGATGACCTCAAATTACACGACTGTAATCGAAGAGACGGAAAGTTTCATTATAGACGTAGGTAATCTACTCCGAGAGAGAAAAACAGACCTATCACGCGTGAGAAAAGAGAAACAAATAGCAGATAAAATAATCGTTGACTGCTGTACAAGGATCAGAGATATTCTAAACAACCTTGAGGAGAGAAGTATAGATGAACTAAATGAAAATGCAAGTACGAAAATTAAAAAAATTGAATCACATATTGAGTATCTTGAAACTACTAGAGAAAAAGCGGGTGATATTTTAAAGCGGATGAAAATATTTGATGGGAAGAATGAAAGCGATCTATTTCATCATGCAGATGAAAGCAGACAATTAGCTAATGATGTTAAAGATAAAATGCACGAGATTAAAAGAATGTTACATCGAGAGTTCATACATTTCGTGATCAATGCCGATATAGAAAATGTCTTCAAATGTTTAGTCTCTCTGGGCTCAGTGATAGATAATCAAATAACAACAACAACTGAATGTCCAGATATAAACATAGCAACAGTTGAAACAACGAATTGTCACACGGCAACAATTAAATGCTCCGATATTGACATAGTGACATCTGAATCATCGACTGGTCACATTGCAACAACTGAATGCTCTGATATTAAAATAGCAACAGTTAAATCACCGGATAGTCATAAAGCAGTAAATAAATGCTCTGATTCGAATGAAGCAATTAATGAAATCACCGAGCATTTGGTTACGAGCACTGAGCATTCACAATTGGATTATAGCGTGTTTTGTTCGTCACCTTTGCAATCTGAAGTTTCAACAATGTCGTCTTTAGCTGATTACGAGAACGTTACTTATAAAATGAACTCGAATCCGACTACAAGGAATGACGGTTCAGATATATATGACAGTTTACCTTGCCATAAAAACACATTCCAAAATGTTGATCAGCTATCATTGGAAACTAAACCAACTAGTTCTATTAGCGATGAATTTGTCTCAGATATATATGAAACCGTTCCAGTCTTAAGTAATGAAAGATTTAAACCATGCAGTTCTGGCACATCAAACACCAAAAACTCTTTTGGAAATGAGGATTGGAATATAAATGATTCGTACACAAAGCTTGGTATCAACCACCAGACCGTTGACTGTGAATTAGCAAATACTGATACAGAAACATCTCTGTCAGTCCCAATGTCAACATCACTGTCTTCAAGTACATCGAAATCTTGCGATAACAACAAATGGTATAAACCTGTCCCCATGATGAGATTTAATGTCAAAGAAAAATACGACAATCATGAATGCAACATATTTGACTTGTGTTTATGTCCGGATGGCAAACTTCTTCTCATAGATGACAGAAATCACAAGTTAAAGAGATTTGATCAGTCCTATAAGTTACGAGACTCCCTGGACATGTCCAGTGATCCTTATTGTGTATGTACAGCTGGACCAAAGATGGTTGCAGTGTCACTTCGTACAAGTAGAAACATACAATTCGTTCATGTTGGAAAGAAAATGTCATTCGCAAAGTCATTTGCTACTAGACATTTTTGCCGGGGAATTGCTTATATAGATGGCTATTTGAATGTTTGTACTGGGAATATAAATGACCCATATTCAGGACGAATAGAGGTATACAATAACAGCGGCAAACTTCTAAAATGTATTCCTAGCGAGTATACACGTTTGCCATCTGTCATAAAATATATCGCTGTTAATGAAGTTGGTCAACATCGTTTTGTAACAATGTTTAGTAATGACAGTGTGACATCACTGAGTGTAACAGGGACATCTGAAATGAGTTTCAGGCACGAAAATCTTAAACAACCTGAAGGTATATGTACAAATGGGAAAGGCGATCTATTTGTTTGCGGTTTCCATAGTAACAATATATTCCGTATTTCACCTCATAATAAGAAAATTGAAGAAATATTAAATGAAGCGGATGGAATTAAGAAGCCAGCAGCAATCCAGTATGACTGCATACAATCACGACTAATCGTGTCTTGTTATCATTTAAACGAAGTTTTGATTTTTACAGTGAAAGAAAAGTAAATTAAAATGATCTCATTTAAAGAATACAGAATGTCATGTTGTTGGACTAAATTTTTAAAATTCTAACAAACGTTTGAATGATTTATTGTTGCAAAATTGACCGAATTAAGCGTAATGTTTTGCTTTCGAGTTTCAACATACAATTGTGTATTTTCATTCTTGTTATTTGTTAAGATGAGATTAACTTCCTTAGTGTCATATGCTTTGTGAAGATAAAAAACATTTTCTAATTCATTTGTAAAGATTTACATTTTGTCCTTAAGTCATATGGTTTATTTGTTTATTTTCATTACATATTTGAAATTGTCGGATGTCTTAATCATAAAAATCTAACGGTTGAATTGTTATAGTTATAAAATAGATTTGACAAATTGTTTTAATTGAGTTTATTAACATAAACGTCGGTCATTATTCCCAATCTCCTTACAAACAACAGAGCCCAATTTTTTGAAATTACAAAAGACAAGTCTGACCGCAGGAAGTGTGACCTAGTGTTGATAGCTATGATACAGAACTAAGTGCACATACTTTTATCTTTTATCACGCAATGGCGAATTACTTTTTTTAACTTCAGTTAATCATTACATTTCATGAAATAATTAAAAATTGAATTTTGCCCACCAAACTTAAACAAGTAAACCAGTATAGGGCACACCGCAGTCTGTAATATTTAAAGTCGATATACTCTCATTAACTGCTTGTAAAACCTTTCTAGTTATAACTTCCCTATCTTTGAATTCGTCAGAAAAATAGTGAACATATACGTTTCTTGCAAAGTTATTTTCCTGAAGTAAAAATCATTGCACTACAGTTTATGAATCGTTAATTTGTAAAATTTATATATTTTAACTGTTTTATATTATTTTGCAAATTGTTTTATCAAATAAACATTTTCTGTTAAAACTTAAAATATCATTTATATTTACAATATACAAATGTATTCATAAATTATGGGAGTGGCATAGCAGTCTTTCGAAAAGATATGTACCGTCTTTTGTCTGAGGTTTGACAGGGTCACGTGAATTAGCAACTTCTCATTTGACGTGATGTCAATTACATTGCATTGCTCGTTTATTGCTTTAAAACATATGTTTACTTCGTAACACGCTTCAGAAAAAAGGATATCACTCCAGGTGCTGGGCCTGTCCAGGTATTAAGGAACACCTTCAAAGTTTTGTAAAGGGCTATTTTATTACGAGGAGCCAGTTTTCTAGCGTTTTACACGATTTACTACGGCATTTTACGTATGTCATCTGCACAGTGACAGTATTGGCTTAGTTAAATAATCAATACTTAACGGTAATGTAATCTGTTCCCTAACATTTGCAACACAAATTTTGAAAAATGCTAAAAATTCATCTACATATCGTAGTTATTGAAGCTAGATGAGTGCATATTTTCACGGGTCAATGAGCGGCCTATACATGCATTTTGTTTTACGGATGACCAGAAAGCTAAATTTTGTACCGATCTGTGATATTTTATGATAATTATTATGATTTAAATGATTTTTGGGGTGGGGAAATTGTAAAGACAACTAAGATGGGGGTACTAGTTCTTGACCTGGCTACGCGCTGTACACCTGCTGTTAAAGTGATTCAGCATTGACAGCCATTTTTGTTTTCGGTAAGTGGGTCCGAAGTGGAAGTAGGCTAAAATTCATATAACGACAAAGCTCACAATGTAAAACGATGAACCATTTATATTACACTTCCAGCTCCGTGCTTTAAGGACTAATATAAACAAATGCACATTTCATGAATGACCCACTTAGTGAAATGACTGCTGAATCACCTTAAATTGTATATGTATATATCTGTAACAGTCATTTGCATAAAAACACCGTATTTTTGCAGTATTTTTGTGTATATACAGGTCTAGTTACTGAATGAATACCGTTTAGACTAGTATCATTGTAACCTATATCGGTCAAGAGAGACATTTAAAAAGTTGTTTGATTTTTTTGATTTTTTGGGGGGTAATTTACGCGGATTTTAAGTGCAATTTGTAAATTACTTTCTTTATTCACTACACAATATTTTGCTTTTAAATACTTTATTTACAAATAAGCATGAATCTGGAGGCATGCTTATTTCAATTAAAATAATGGCAATTTAAAAACAAATCGTATTTTAAATACGTTTTGTACTTTTTTTTTGCACTTTGAAAGTTGTTTTATTTAAATCTATTTTTATGATAACTTTATTGTTACAGACGTGCTGTAAAATGTTTGTCGTATTCTTATTGTTGTTCTTTTAATGCAACACTAGGCTGAAGGGTTTTTTTGTAATAAATGTAAGTAAAAAACGTTTGTCCTACATCTACGCCCAAACATGCGGATTCCCAAAGACGAGCTATATAATATTCTAACTCAAATAATGTCTGACTAAATAAGGTGCTCTTCAATAACAATTTATTTCCCCTTTATTATTTCTCGATGGTATAGTGTCATGTTATTTAACAGAAACATCGTATATACCACTTTTATTACTTTTTGTAAATAAACGAATTAACAAATGATTCTTTAATCAATACGGTTTATCTTTGAAAAGAATAATACATTGCATTAAAAAACTTTTAATATTCTTTAATAATTTTAGAATTTTTTACACTGGTACTGACCTGTCAATTCAAATTAGGTCTATGACACCATACAATATGGGAAAAGCATAACTCCTGCTGACTAGGCCAAATTGCAATACAAGCCTGAGATATTAAATATTTCCGTATGATCTCCGTGATATTCATTTTTTTCAGGCCTTAATGGATTGGAATAAAATCAATGATGAATTGCTACAAAGTCCAAATAATTTACGAAAGATACTCATTAAGGCATATCAATTTACAATCTTAACTTTAGACAAACTTAGCATAAATAAACAGTTTATTGTATTCAAATACAAATTATAACATATAAAAGTTTTATTTTTCTTCTTGCAGTATCAAATATGTCGAGCAAATATATAATTTATCCATCTCATGTTTATCTCTCTCATGAGTTCAGAGTGAAAAAAACTTGAACTTTTTAACAACGATATAAATAAACGTTTGAAAACCTCAACAAGGCCAATAACATGTCAAAATGTTAATGATAAAGTATTATTTTACCACTATAAATAAACTATAGTGATTTAATCATCTGACGTATATTAGATACTCTTCTTTCTCAACTTTATTGAATGTTATGTCAGCTTTGTACTCCTTCCCCGAAACGTTGTCTTTAGCAATGACGGATAATTCTGTCCCTCCGTATATCATTGTCACATCTACACATTTCTCTGTATCTTCTGTTGTATTTTCAAAGTTAACAATGATCTCTCCCAACTTTTCACATCCAACTTCGTCTGTGTACTTTGGATTTATTGATGACGACTTGTAAATAAGAAGACGTAACTTTGTTTGATGCTCGTACATAGGTTTGTATTTTTGAACTGGTTGTGAACTGCCCAAAACAACAGATTGTCCTTTGCGAACATGTATATGGAATATATCTTGGCAATAATCTTCTCCGGTTATCTTACGCTTCTGTTTTTTTTGCTCGTCATGTACATTTGGATCAAACTTAACGTTTATTCTTATTCCATATGTTTCCCTGCTGATTCTGCTTCTGATTACCATAGGATCATGACCAAAAAGTACTGCCCCATTCAAGACAGCTTTGAAAGGCGATGATGGTACAACAACTTTTGTTCCTTGAAAATCATTGGCAATCATTTTCCGGATATTTTCGACGACAATTGGCGATTCAGCAAAGCCTCCAACAAGTACGACTGTTCTCAATCCGTTTGCTTCCGGTTTATCAAGTACTTTCTTTATAGTTCCATAAACAATTTTGCATGTTTCCTGAAAAAGATTTTTCCGTATCAGCTCCGAGTTAAACATAAACTCGCTATCCTGAAGGGCAATATATCTTGTATCCTTCAGCTTGACTGACTGATTTTGCAAGCTATCACGTAGTGATGCAGGAACTATCAGATCAATCATTTCACCATCTTGATCGTCTGACCCAATTGCAACCTTCTTTTTCTCAAAATCAGCTTCCATTTTCCACATTTCAACTGGAGTGGCTTTACCAAAAGTCTTATGCCAGTCATCTCCTTTAAATGAATCATAACAAACTTGCAGGAATGCCCTATTTATATTTTGACCGCCGACCGGATCACCTAGTGGTGGACAGATTTCCCTAATAAAACCTGATTCTTCGACTTCCACTGCAAATAAATCAGCTGTTCCACCTGCCAAAATATATATTTTTAAATTATATCAAAATGATTTTCAGCATAAATATTTTAGTATAAAAAAGTCATATTACTAATGTACATAACCGAAAACTGCCAAATTTGAAACTAATCTATATTCATTAATAAATTGTACACAAGTTGTGTTGGGAATGCCATATTATCTTTACATTGAATTCAAACCCATCATTATAAATACCTCCCAAGTCTGCAACTAGAAACTTCTGTCCTTTCATACCAAGATCATTCATGTCTTGTCTTTCATCCTCAGGGAGATTTAAACAATAAATAGCTGCAACTTCTGGTTCCAACGCCAATAACAAGTTCTTTTTACCAATACCAGCCTATTTGTGTAAAAAATATAGGTTTGTTGTGGATATCATACAAATATGAATATGGATTTTTAGCTGGTGAATATGATGTAAAATGTACTAAAAATTAAAAATTTATCAAAGAATGTATTTCCGTCAGTAGCGAAAATCGATTTTTGTAACACGTTTAATTTGGCGATACGATACGCTATATTCTGCAACAGGTAGATCCCATGAAGGCAATTAAAGCAGTAAAATAAATATAAACAAAGACTTGGTTTGGTTGAGCCTGTTAATGAACTACAGTGGAAAATACAGCTAAGACAACTAACCCCCTAGCCCTTCGTAACCTGGTACTACAAGCTCTTTTCAAATCAAATTTTAGTCTTCAAAATAAATAATAGACAGATATGGAATTGTTATTAGAATAAAGCAACAAGATGGACATCAAATTCTAGGCGCAGTTTTAGTATAGCATACAGACAACAACTTTTATCCAAACAATCATGAATTCAGATAATGTTAAAACTACGCGATGAAGTAAAGGGCACCAATGAAATTAGAAATAAGCCAGTGACCAACAAAGACTTGGTTTGATCAAGTCTGTTTCAGAGAGACATAAAAAAACAAAATAAAGCATCTCCAATGCCACATCAACGACTCAATGTGTGCGTATGTGCACACGCGCGCGTGTGTGTGCATGTGTGTGTGCGCGTGTGTTTCCCCAATTCTTTAACGCTGTACAGGTTTTAAAATCATTGGAATAGAGTGAAAAGCATATGCAGTTAAGAAGCTGATTTTTACAGCTGCAACATTGGATTGTTTGCAAATGAAAAAATGCTTTGATACCGCTATCGATGCATCTCTCATGAACTTCTTTGCTTCATCCGTCCATATTGCAGGAACAGTAACGACAAAAAGAGTTTTGTTTATCTCAACTGTCATTCCTTGAGTCTGTAGTTTCTTCAAACAATGATCCTTTAATGCTTTGATGAACAATGACATTACATCAAACAAGAGAAATGGCTGATCTATCTGGTCTTCTATCATACGGTTAAAATTCTTCAATGTAAAAGTACGTACAATCAAAACAGTAAAGAGGAAATTGTACTAGTATGTGAAAAATAACATAAGTCAACTCTAATTTGTTTTAGTAAAATAACTATAAATGATAAAAACGCAAAGTGGATGTCTATGCGTGTCTATCACTCTTATAGGAAGTGCAAACAAACGACTCCTCTCCGCCGTCAGAGCAGTGCGAGGGAAATACAGTCAATCACCAACAACCTGAGCACTGAGCATTACAATGATCTCTGTAAGGACATCGTTACACCTTAAACCTCAATCCTTTCCTTGCTTTTATTAATTTTAATAATGCAATGTTGTGATTATGAAAAAGAAGTAAAGTATAGTATAGTCTAGTCAAGCATAGTATGTAATATAGTATAGGACAGGTAATATGTAAAGCAAATGGGTGCTGATTAGTTACTTGTCTTCGTTCCGAAATATTAAACAAATGAGCTGAATATCTTTGTTAATATAAAATATTGATGCACTCCTAATGATTTTAAATATGTATAGTATAATATAAACTTACCTTATTATACAGAGCTATTTTGAAACTTTTAAAAAAGTAGTATTGGCCACAGATCTCATGAGTTTTATACTTCTTGGCAATGCCGCTATATGCCCTCTCTGCCTCCTGTCCTATTTTTGTTTCTACATCTTCCGTGATACTGAATTTATTTTCATTAATTAGACCTTTGACATCTGGTGTTTTGTTTACCGCTTTCCCTGTTCCTTTCTTGATTTCGATGAGAATACACGTGGATGTTTTGTGGAGCTGTACATGTAAAAAAACAAAAACATATAAAATATCACAACGCTTAAGACAACTTCGTTTTTGGTGTTTATTATCTTTTTCAAAGTTCTTTTGACTCACTAAAATGATTGTAATTGAATGAAAAACATACTGTCCATACCTGTAAAGCACCTGCACCCCAGCTTGTGTTAAAATGAACATTGTTTCTATTGGTCTCGAACTCAGATCTGCGTTGCCAGGCGTATCCAGAGTAAGTACTTCCTATGTCTAAAGCGATTACCAGTTGTGGTCCTTTTATAATGCTCTATTAAAAGTAAATTGAATTTCCATGCATATTAAAGTTGATTGGTCTACAATCGACCGTTTTCCAGAAGAATTTTAGATATTGAAAAAAAAAACAACAGAAATTGGACACTAGTCCTGAAAAAAATGGTAGGATTCTGAGACATACGTACATTCATGAACATTTTTTTGATGAATATTTGCTCTGGAACATTTTAACTGTCAGTATTATATAGGTAAACAATATCGGATCATATATCGCACTCTTAACCAACAGCAACGTCCGTAGTTAGTTGTTGATGTATAATGCTAAATTTTATCAACATTTTTAACCTTTAAGAGGGGGTCAAATAGTTGGAGTAGGGGGTCGTGTAAATGTACAACAGACACATCACTATCAAACATTAGAAGTAAAGAGATCGCACGGATAGGCTTAGAGATCATACAGGTTTTCAGGAATATATTATCAAACATATTAGTGGTGATCAAATGGATACACTAGGGGATCATATTGGTGAACAGTTAAAATAAATTAAGCTTCAAATACGATATAGTAGATCGAATGCATTTTTTATGGGATCATACAGATGTACAATTGCATATACTTGATGTGATGTCAACCTGATACCCATATTTATGTTTGAAAGTCTTATATATAGGTATATAACAGGTGATAGTGTATTGCGATATTACCTTTTCCTGTCACCATGTGATCCCCCTAGTCGATCTATTATATCTCTTTGTTTGAAAGTATTCAACATATTCAACTTACTTTATATCAAGCGTGTTATGGTTTGGCGTTGTCTGTCTTTCTGTCTGATCTTATGGGAAAAACGGTTTGTGTACACCTTAACATGGTTTGTTTCATACCATACAAACTGTATTTCTGGGGGCTTTAAATGTCGCATGTGAGGTTGAACATGTCGTATGTGAAATTGAAAAAGATTAAGAAAAGCTGAAAGGAACAACTCCATAATGCCTATCCCCTAAGGACACCCGTAGATTATCGATGTCCACGTGATAAGATTTTAAGGATACCAATGATTTCGTTAGGAAACGGCTTTTATTTGTATAGTGCAATGGACTTTCGTCTTAAAGAGATGGCTGATCATATTTCTCATAGCAGTTATTGTGTTAAATGATGCAAAAAAATTGCTTTTAAAATACATGATGATTATTTATAAATGTTATTTTATTACGGGAATAAATATTTTCATAGGTATCAACAGATCTGATTTTTTATTTCTAATATTCAATTAGATGTAAGAGTAACGAATCCCAACTAATGGAAATACTAGTATTCAGCTTCTAACCTTTACAGATAACTATATTGAAACCCCTGGGTGTTCAAGTCTATTTAAGAGACATGGAGTTCGTATCCCGGCCTAACAACCGTGCTTATTTTCTATATTCCTTTTCATTTGCAAAGTAACAGTATGGTTGTGTTTTTTTTAATAAAAACGAAAGAAAAAAGTATAAACACTATTTTAAAACAAGTGAGAAACTTTAGCTAAGTAAAATTCCACAACTGTTACAGCCGAAATTACGGTGGAACAAAGGTGACATTTATTTATCTCGTGGCCACGAGATACTATGTCGTGGCCACGTGTTACTAAGTCGTGGCCACGAGATAGCTAAGTCGTGGCCACGAGATACTATGTCGTGGCCACGAGTAAGTAAGTCGTGGCCACGAGATAGCTAAGTCGTGGCCACGAGATACTATGTCGTGGCCACGAGTTAGTAAGTCGTGGCCACGAGATGGCTAAGTCGTGGCCACGAGATACTATGTCGTGGCCACGAGTTAGTAAGTCGTGGCCACGAGATACTATGTCGTGGCCACGAGTTAGTAAGTCGTGGCCACGAGATGGCTAAGTCGTGGCCACGAGATACTATGTCGTGGCCACGAGTTAGTAAGTCGTGGCCACGAGATGGCTAAGTCGTGGCCACGAGATACTATGTCGTGGCCACGAGTTACTAAGTGGCACTATCACTTCGATAAATCCAAACGTGACAGTCGGCTATGAACGAAGCCATCCGATTATTTGGTTCCCAAACTTAAAAGCGCTGCGCATTTTGCACACGGCAAAGCTGCGGCCACGTTTGAATTTATCGAAATATTTTGTCAATGGAGAAAAACGGCGACAATCTTGATGTTTATTTCGGCTGTTGCATTGTTTATATTACCGTTGAAGTTTAAAATTGACCATCATCGCGAAGAATTATATCTTCTGTGTCGATGGGCCAATGGATTATGTGAAAATATTGGAAATGGAATAAAGTACATGGTGATTATGACGGTAGGGGTGTGGATTTTTTTTCCGGCGAACATTTTTATCTTGTGTATTATTATCTATAGATGTTGAAATATGATTTTTTTTCAAAACGGCTTATATTAAATTCTTTTGATATATATGATCAGTACATGTGCTGGGATTGACAAATATGCAATTTATTTGGATTTTAAAGGCGTTTTGAGCTCCAAACCCCCAAGTGTCTGTGTACCAGATCAGATAGTTTCGAGTAATTCCATCGTACATTTAAAGGAATAAAACTAGTTTATATGGTTTACGCCTTTCGGCCTGAGTATCCTACTTGAGGTCATTAAGTAGTTTACTTATATTGCATAATTTTGTTGCGCCTGTTACTATTCTTGCTGCCTCGTTTTGAACTGCTTCAATTTCATTTTTAACATGTTCATGGAGTTATACTATGATACATCGCAAACAGGACGTTTCGGCCCCAAACCAAATCGGCCCCTGTGCAAAAATCGGCCCCTAGACGTTTCGGCCCTTTTCCGCGAGACGTTTCGGCCCTTTTTAATTACATCTAAAAAGGAATTTTTATACTAAAAATCGTTAAAAAATGCTTTGGTAGTTTAGCACGGAGGAAGGTAGTCTAGTACTGGTGTAACTCTCCAGGAACGATGTTTAGGAAACTACCCGCCTATATGACTGAAATACTGTTGGGAAAAGGCGTAAAATGTAACAAACAAACAAACAATAGATATATGAGTATCCCAAAATGTGTGTGATTTTGTACACGTTTGATTGGAATTTCATTTATTTGACTTTAGAGATGGTTAACTTGTTTATTTTTTTTTGAAAATATCATTAATTCTGTTTTGGATGGATTAAAAACCAGCCAAGCCTTTGACCAATTTGTACAATTTTCCTTTACACTATTTGGAAAGAAATTCATTAGTGTCAGGTATCTATCTTTATTCATGCTACCTTCTTATTGTTTATTTGACACCGAGCGTATATTGCCTCGTCTCAGCGGAGCCCTTGTTTATTAAGCTGTCCATTGTTCATTTGTATTATTACCATCATTCAATATATATACATCTATATCAGCCCCGGCTAGCTCCTTGTCCGATGTAGTTTCGACAGGTCAATAGTTATTAGTAAAATTCAATAGTAATCTGAATATTGTATAATTACCTCATATTATCAAAATTGTTTTAAAATAATACACTTTTCAATGTTCTATTCAGGTGTTCAAGTCAATAAAGGTTTGTATCCTCTATGTAAAAAGGAAATTATCATATGCACTTAACAGTTCAATATGGAAAAAATATAATGCATGCTTCAGCGTGTACATAAAGGTCACTTGGTACATTTCAGCGTTTGGTTAAAAATAATTCATAAAGAATAAAATTTCAGACAAAAGAAGCTACTGAAATTTCATAGCACAAGCCTGAAACGAGCTAAATATCATGTCGCAAATGAGTTAATTGTAAGTATATGTATGAAAGAAATTATACCAAACAGCAAAAACATTTTATCTTGTGATACTTTGAATAAAAGCCGCCGAAAAAGGAGAAAATTATCCTGTCTCTCCCCTTTTGCAAAACTATACCACTGTTCTCACCCATATAACTTTACATTAGGTTAATGACATGTATAATGATTAAATCAGCATATCAAGCATATTTGTGTAAAAATAATATTACAGCTTTAACAATATTTGTTTTAGTTTTATATATAATTAATTAGATATTTAGAAAGTTTACTCACAAGTTCCATATTGAACGGTAAAATTAACCTTACAGTACGCCCATATTATACAGAGAGAAAATAGGCTAACAAATGATCTTTGTATTTCACCATGTTTCATTGATAGATAAAGGGCAACTTATGAGATAAAATTAAAATAATTTAGGTTAGATGAAAACGGATATATGCTCGATATGGTTCATATTTTGATGACTCTTTTTTTGCATTGTCTGAAGTGTGTTTTCGAGCTAACTATCGTAACAGGAACGCATGGCAATCGAGCTTTTTGTCGTCGACTATGAAATATATGTTGACATGCAAACATATGATTTTCAATTCAAGCTTCTCTACTTTTAGATAAATAAACTCTGATTAGGTAACTACATTAGTATTTACGTTTGGAAACAACACAGAGAACAATAAAACAAATGTTGTAACTGTCTTTTTGTCAAGGCTGTATTATATATGAGTTTAAATTTTGGAGAATCTGTACAATTCTTGAGAATATGTACAATTCTAGGAAATCATTCAATTACAAAAACATAAACACATTGCAAACTCTAATTAAGTCTATTTATAAAAGGTAATGGAAAGTCTTTAATACCCTCTAGCATCGGTTAAATTAAAAAAATTAAAAATGTCACAAAACAACCATTTTCACCAAAATTAGGTGAAAGGCCACGTGTTTACATGGAAAAACTAGATTTTGGGTAATTCCAAGGTTTTTCATCATTTTTTGTTAACCTTTTACCTCATACAGACGTGTTTTGACGGCTTTTCGACACCCCTTTTGAGGCCTCAAACAGTGAAAAAATGCCCTATTTAGGCCCCAAACACGTTTTTCGTTTGTGAAATATTGATAAAAAAGTGAACACGTTTTCGGCGCCGCTCCCTATCAAACAGGTACATCAAAGGGTTGCCAGAAGGGGGATGTGCCCCCTTCTGTTCGGGGATTTGATGGGGGAGGTAACCCCCCTCATCGCCAAGAAAATTTAGGACATGTGACAGGCTAAAAATGGCCTCAGGTCGATTGTAAGGTAACGTGTAACCAATGCCGAAAAGCCTTTTACTTTATCTCAATCCATTGAGAAGTTGCAGCACTTTGAAATCAGTTTTGATGGAAAAACCTTGCAAAATAGTGATTTTTGGCAATTTTGAGACGTTCCTACGTTGCCATGGTAACAGGAAATTTAAAAAGATCAAACATGCCGTTGCAGAGGCTAGAGTCACCATTTGTGACAAGTTTCATCAGTATTGAAGCATTTTTCATAGTTTTAACTTGTAACACTCGGTCGACTTGGATTGTAAATATTTTCATGGCGAATGCAAATTGCGAAAGGTAGATAACTCTGATAAAATAAATGAAAATGATGCAGCAAATGTTTGTAAATGATTGATATTAATTGATTTTAATACATAACAATTTTCAACATATAAAGATGTAATAATTTAATTCTTGAGATGTCTGGGCTAAAAAAAATCATACGGGTCTGAAATAAAGGTATCGATCCTTGTTGCCCTTTTCAGCTTTATAACAGAATGGTTTGTTATTAATATTTATTCATTTATTATAGTCAAATCTGTGCACCATTACATACATTTCAACATAAAAGATAAACATTACATTGTTCTTTGAGTAGAATTACAAGAGACTCAAGATATATTACATATTTTACAATTAAAACTATAGTCTGTTTTATTTCGGGCATATAAATATATGCAAACACATGGCACAATAAAAAAATGCAATATTAAAACATCACATGATATCAACAACATCAACACCTTTAATAAAATATCACTGTTAAAAGGTAAAAGATAAAGATTTTCAAAAAATGTGCATCTTTATAGTAATATTTGTCAAGAGGCTGTATTTTGATTAGGAGTTGACTAAATAGCAGAATTTACCTTGTTAATATAGAATGCAAAATAGGTTAAAACATGGTAGGTCATATTTAAACTGATATGAGATACAGTCCAATTTTGTTAAGAGATAAATTAACAGGTCAATTTGTAAAGATAACTATTACATATCAGACACTAGATTTTTACAATGAGGAGATAGTTGTATATATGATGCTTAATCTTATCCTTTACACAAATGTCCGATTTTAACACCTATTACTACCTTTAGACAAGTACGAGTACAAATGTTGCTGCAATGCAGCAATTGAGAAGCTCCGAGCAAAAAAATGCGCTCATTACAGATACGTTACCAAATCATTTCTGCGCACAAGTCATTTTCTATTTAGATTAAGAACTAGTCATTATTCCGGATGTTTTGTAAATCATTTAAATTTGCATAATTATACTTATCGTATGCACTGTCCATGACAGAGGGGCCAGATATTAAATTTAAAAACAAATGCTTTCACTGATGCTTACCTGGTAAGGAAAGAAATTCCAATACAAACAAGACTTACAAGACTTGTAAATGTAATGTGACATGACAGTAGTGCAACATTGTTCTGTTTGTGTCATTACTTTAGTCAGTAATATTAGATGATAAAAATATCAAAACATGTACATTTTCTTTTTCACCTATAATGCTATTCACTTTCTACAAATATCAACAACTAATCATTGTAGGAAATATTAAAATCCACATGTAAATAAGCCAAATCGACTATATTTTCAAAATGTCAGTACCATGTTTCGCGCCAAATGGTATATCATGTTAAACAAGAAGGGCATTGATGCAAAGCATAAAAAATTGCGTCCAAGCAAGAAATGCAGCAAGTGACGATGAACTAGTAGACATCTGATGACCAGATATTTTTTTTAATTTTTCAATGGTTAATTGTATTTTACCAGAATTGTACATGTATATCATAGATGAATGGGCGGACAAAAACATATTGTTCATCATGAACTTTGGTCGGCTTGCTAAGAATAAACAAGAGGGCCATGATGGCCCTGAGGTCGCTCACCTGTATATAGGCCCCCCCACCCCCCCCCCCCAACGTTGCAGGGCCAATTTAACCCAAGGGCTTTTATTTGCACAAACTTGGTAGACACCCATAAGAAGATGTTTCATGCTAAACATCTAAGCTTTAGCTCGTTGGGCTTTTTAAAAGAAGATTTTTTTTAAGTTTTTACTATAAACATATAGTTAAAAACAATGACACCCCTGGGGCCAACCCAGTTTTGACCCCAGGGCTTTTATTTGAACAAACTTTGTAGACACTTACTAGAAGATGTTTCATGCTTAATATCTAAACTCTAGCTATTTGGGTTTTTTCAAAGAAGATTTTATGTTTTTGCTATACATATATAAAGAAAATCAATGACCCCCGGGGCGGGGCCAATTTTGACCCCAGGTCTTTTATTTGAACAAACTTTGTAGACACTCACTAAAAGATGTTTCATGCTTAATATCTTAACTCTAGCTATTTGGGTTTTTTCAAAGAAGATTTTTTAAGTTTTTGCTATACACATATAAGGAAAATCAATGACCCCAGGGCTTTTATTTGAACAAACTTGGTAGACACCTATTAGAACATGTTTGATGCTAAATATCTTAGCCATAGCTCTTTGTGTTCTTTAAAAGAAGATTTTTTTAGTTTTTACTAAATGCATATAGGGAAAATCATTGACCCCCCGGGGCGGGGCCAATTTTGACCCCAGGGCTTTTATTTGAACAAACTTGGTAGACACTTATTAGAAGATGTTTCATGCTAAATATCTTAGCTCTAACTCTTTTGGTTCTTTAAAAGAAGATTTTTTAAGTTTTTTACTATATACATAGAGGGAAAATCAATGACCCCCTGGGGCGGGGCCAATTTTGACCCCAGGGCTTTTATTTGAACAAACTTGGTAGACACCCATTAGAACATGTTTGATGCTCAATATCTTAGCCATAGCTCTTTGAGTTCTTTAAAAGAAGATTTTTTAAGTTTTTACTATATGCATATAGAGAAAATAATTGACCCCCCGGGGCGGGGCCAATTTTGACCCCAGGGCTTTTATTTGAACAAACTTGGTAGACACCCATTAGAGCATGTTTCATGCTAAATATCTTAGCTCTAGCTCTTTGGGTTCTTTAAAAGAAGATTTTTTAAGTTTTTACTATATGCATATAGGGAAAATCAATGACCCCCTGGGGCGGGGCCAATTTTGACCCCAGGGCTTTTATTTGAACAAACTTGGTAGACACTCACTAGAAGATGTTTCATGCCAAATATCTAAGCTCTAGCTCTTTGGGTTTTTTAAAAGAAGATATTTAAAGTTTTTTCTTTCGGTTGCCATGGCAACCAGAGTTCTGCATGGAATTAAATTCTTTGAACAATTTTTATAGGTGACCACCAAAGGAACATTCCTGTGAAGTTTGGATGAAATTGGCTTAGTGGTTTATGAGGAGATGTCATTTAAAGTAAAAGTTTACGGACGGACGACGGACGGACGACGGACGGACGGACGCCGGACGGACGGACGCCGGACGAAAAGCGATCACAAAAGCTCACTCTGTCACTTTGTGACAGGTGAGCTAAAAAATTAAATGTATTTTCTTTGGAACATACAAAACAGTAGTCAAACTGAACAAAGTCTGTTTTTTATTATAATTGTAACAAATATACAAACAGCATATAAAATAAAAACAAAAGAGACTAATATTGTAATATAACAGGCATTTTTTCTACCAAATTAAGAGAAATTGTTTTTTTTTTATACCTTGGACTTATGCCTCATGCCTTAGATACAGTAGCTATATTTTAAGTCTCAGATAAATACTGAAAGAAGAACACGCACTGGAATGGAAAATTTGGGATGAATTTCTAAAAGACCAAATTCTGGATTTGTTTGTTATACGCGTGAACAAAAATAATGGTACTTTTAAAATCATGAATAAATTTGCATGGCGTGTTGATATATTGAAACAATATTTATCAAGTCGCGGATCTGTTTCCTCGACATTTTATGCCGGGCAATGTATCTGCGCAAATAAATCGCGGCTGAAAATTTCAAATAATCGCCGAAACCGTTGTTGGGGAACAAAATGTCGCGGCCTATAATTTTACCCTTCGACATTTTGTAGAATTTCGCGGGTATCTTTCTGTTCCTCGTCTTTTTATAGACAAACGAGGGATATAATGTAGAGTCAAACCATGGACGCTACCGGCCACTGGAATCAAAATGTTCCTTGCTGTTTTCAACAACTGTTAAAATTTCGAGGTTTATACGTACATTCTCTGCTGCGACATTTTGTACGATTTCGGCAGAAAATCTTGCTTGTTTATAAGTTGTATGATAAAACGATAAAATTTCTCGCGGGTTTGAAATGGCCGCAACCGGTCACCATGATAACGTAATAAAATAGGGTGCTGGTGAATAAATATGATTCCTGGCCTGGCAGTACCGGCCCCTCCAATATTTGTAACTGGCTATTACGAGGTGCCAGCTTTCTAGCGGTTTCCCCGCTTTACTACGACTATAACGTATGTCATTTGCCAACTGACAGCCGTGGTAATAAGTTTTTATAGTTAAATATTCAATATTTGACTGTAAACTACGGAGAAGCATTAGTGCCAGGTGTATGTTTTTTATTAGCTCGAAATTTCGAGTTATTAACTCGAAATTTCGACATACTAACTCGAAATTTCGAGTTACTTATCTCGAAATTTCGACTTACTAACTCGAAATTTCGACTTATTAGCATTAATAGAAAAATGGCCAAATTTATGAGTTACCAAGAGTTTAGATAATATAAGATATAGTAGGGAGTGCGGTTGAACGATGGAGATGGAGAAACGGGTGCCTGGACAAACTATTAAAGTTAAAATTAAACTTAGTAATGGCATGTACACGCCCGACCTAAAAAAACACAAGGCTTCATTTAATTTGAACGTTCAGGCGTTATTCAGACGTTGTATTGTATCTTCTCATCCATGTGAATAAAAGATCCTATACTTCACGTGTGGGACATCTGAGGAAAGTATCGCAGAGTGGCCAAAATAGGGGTACTGGGGCCTTTGTCAAATTTGTTGGACTGACTATATTTCTTGTAAAATCGGCTGCTTTTATATTATTCCCAACATGTATATAACAACAAGTTCCACTTTTATCAACTTTTATCAACACAATATGAATCAAAATCTTAGTAAATAATGAATAATGTTACAAAAACATCATAAGTATAATATAAAGAAACGTGCAGACTAACTGGCGTATACAAGCCATTTAAAACTTATTTAACACATGAATGTTGCACAGTTTACAATAGGGTGGGTTTTGGACTTGTTGTATCTTCACATGATGGTTGTATGTGTGCTTTAGAAAAAGAAACATCCGGTTAACACGGAAATGTGGAAAGTGTGATTTTACACCCCCCTCCACAAAAAGCGAAGGACGTGTTCAGTATGTGTGGATAATTTGACCCTATTTAATTGTTCTGTTAAATACATAGGTGCTCTGTCAATGTGCAACAGCTACACACGAAAGAAAGTATCTTGAATTTCACCGATAACCAATGAAAGTCGTGCAATATAAGTCGAAATTTCGAGTAAATAAGTCGAAATTTCGAGTTACTAAGTCGAAATTTCGAGTTACTAAGTCGAAATTTCAAGTTACTAACTCGAAATTTCGAGTTAATAAAAAACATACACCTGGCTCTAATGCTCTTCCGTAGTAATCTACCTTCCCTAATATTTGCAACAATTGTTTTAAATTGATAAAAAATATGTAGCCATCCCTAACGAAGCTAAAGAGGGCATATTTTCACTTTACAATGATCGGACATTTTGATACCTTGTTATAAGATATGGTATGTTTTACGGAGGCCCAGAAAGCTCAATTTTCTTAATGATTTGTGCTATTTAAATGACAGTAATTATGTTTCAAATGATTTTATCCTTATAAATATTTTTGGGGGTTGTAGAGAGGTCTAGGATGGGGATACTAGTTCCTTACATGGCTACGCGCTATAAACACCTATTGTTTAATATAGTCATTTGCATAACACCAAAAAAAAAATTGTTGCAGTATTTAAGAACTTTGCTACAGGCTCAAATTAAAATAAGAAGAACAGAGGGCTGGATCCCTATGTGTGTTTAAATGTCTTAATCATCTAGTTAATTATCATTGTTACCTTTATCGGTTTTAAAACTGCCTGGTTTTTAATTCTTTCTTCCTTGTTTAATACACTAAGCCGACCTTACGAAAACGAAAGAACACTCCCGAAAATAGTATTTCTGGAACAATTATTAAATATTGTAATAAAATATAGTACGTGTTGCGCTAATAATGATATAAAAGATATTCTAAAATTAAAAGATGCATAAAACTGTTTTCATATTTGAAAAAGATGCAGGCTCCTAGGTGTTTGATGGTAAGTGCAAGTTCTACATTCAATTAGACGTCAACATTTTAACATACTGTAAAACACTTATTTTTCGCGAGAACCTTATTTCGCGAATTTGAGGCAAAATGTCCAAAATAATTATTTCGCGTCAACATGAATTCGCGTCTTCCCGAAAAAAATGTGAAACCGGAAACCCGATGGCATTCGGATATTTTCTGTCCTGTCCGTTTACAAACTTTGCGTCGTTTATTTTTATTGTGCGACGAATGCATTTATATCCGTATCGATTTTTCTGATAGCTTGCTAATCTTCTTGTTAAGTGAAACCGTCTGTCTAAAAATATGTCAATAAAGTTTGATAATTATTTGATATGTGTTCACTGTGTTTGTCATGTATTGTCCATGATCATACTCCGTGCCTCTAGCATTGTTACTAGTAATGCAAAGTGTTAAAGTTTCACCTATTAGCCATTCAAAGGCAAGCAGACGAAAATCAATTAAACAGTACTGTAATTTGCCTAACCTGTAGAAAACAATTATGTTTACCCTCCGGATTGAACTGTAGTAAAATACAATAGGATACAATAAATAGAAATGTTACAAACAACTCGCAGGTGCTAAAGCATTTGTACCAAATACCAAAACAGTTATTTTGAAACACTTGAATAGCAACATGATGTAACTAGAACTGGCTTCGATACTTTTCCGCAGATATATATCCATGTGTACGCATTTTCGGATAGTGTTCATTTTCGGACAAGTGTATAGACAAAGTGAAATATTCGCGAGAAATATGAATTCGCGTCTTAGAAAACTCGCGAATATTAGCGAAAATAAATTTCTCGCGAATAATAAGTGTTTTACAGTAGTGTATTTTTAATAGTGGCACTCGCAGATGCAAGAGTCAAGTTATATTCATTTCGGCGGTTTGGCTTTTATCTGAATTTCTTGTTCTTTATTAGAGAAGTATTATTTTACAGAAATGTATGATTCCTCGGGAAAGAGAAGCTGCCACAGAGTTTACTTCTAACGCAAGAAGAAGAATCTTTGCCAACTCTGATAGTTAACTATGTTAAAGCTGCATGCCTCCAGATAAGCCAAACTATTTTAAACGATTCAAATTTTACATGCTGTTTGCGATTAATAACTGATTTTGCAGTGGTTATTACCATATTTATAATGCTTGACTAACGCAGTAAGGGATATATTTTGCATATTTTGACCCCATTTTTGTTTTTGGTAATTTACGCGGATGTTATGTGCAATTTGTAAATAACTTTCTTTATTCACTTAAAAATATTTTGCTTTTAAATACTCTTTTCAAATTATCATGAATGCTAATTCATGAATCCAGAGGCGTGCTGATTTAAATAACAATAATGGCGATTTGAAAACAAATTGTATTTTTTAATTACACGTGCTTTATTGAGTTTTGCATTTTGAAGGTAGTTTCATTTGAATTATTTTTTATGATAACTTTATTGTTACAGAAATGTTTGTCGTATCCTTACTGCTGTTCTTTTAAGGGTTTTTATAACAAATGTTAGTCAAAAACGACCCCAAAATTTATTTTATTACTTTTGTAAAACAAAATAACTAATGATTCTTCAATCAATATGTGTTATCTTTGAAAAATAATTACATAGCACTACAGACATCTTAATATTCTTTAATAATTTCTTAAGGTACTGCCCTGCCAATCAAATTCAGGTCTATGACACCATACAATATGGTAAAAGCATCACTCCTGCTGACTAGGCCATATTGCAGTACAAGTCAGGGATATTAAATGATCTCCATGATATTCATCTTTTCCAGACTTTTATGGATTGTAATAAAATCAATGATGAATCGCTACAAAGTCCAAATTATAATTATTTACAACAGATACTCATAAAGGCTTATCGATTGGTGGTCTTATTTTAGAGAAACGGAACATAAATAAACAGTTTATAGTATCATAATACAAGTTAAAACATATAAAAACTCATTTTTCTTCTCGCATATGTCGAGCAAATATATGATTTATCCATAGCATGTTTTATCTATCTCATGAGTCCAAAGTGGAAAAAACTTTACCTTTTCATCCGAATCGCATTTACCACCATAGAAATAAACGTTTACAAAGCTCATTAAGGTCAATAACATGTCAAAATATTTATGATAATGTATTTTTACCATTATTAATAAACCAAAGTGATTTAATCATTTGAGCTATATCATATACTCTTCTTATTCAACGTTATTGAATGTCATGTCAGCTTTGTACTCCTTCCCCGAAGCGTTGTCTTTAGCAATGACGGATAATTCTGTCCCTCCATAAATCATTGTCACATCTACACTTTTCTCAGTATCTTCTGTTGTATTTTCAAAGTCAACAATGATCTCTCCTAACTTTTCACATTCAACTTCGTCTGTGTACTTTGGATTTATTGATGACGACTTGTAAATAGGAAGACGTAACCTTGTTTGATGTTCGTACATAGGGTTGTATTTTTGAACTGGTTGTGAGCTGCCCAGAACAACAGATTGTCCTTTGCGAACATGTAGATCGAATACATCTTTGCAATAATCTTCTCCGGTGGACTCCAGGTTCCATTTTTTTTGCTCGTCATGTATATTTGGATCAAACTTAACGTTTGTTTCTATTCCATATGTTTCCCTGCTGATTCTGCTTTTGATTATCATAGGATCATGGCCAAAGAGTACTGCCCCATTCAATACAGCTTTGAAAGGCGATGATGGTATAAAAACCTTTGTTCCTTGAAAATCATTGGCAATCATTTTCCGGATATTTTCGACGACAATTGGCGATTCAGCAAAACCTCCAACAAGTACGACTGTTTTCAATCCATTTGCTTCAGGTTCATCAAGTACTTTCTTAATAGTTCCATAAATAATTTTACATGTTTCCTGAAAAAGATTTTTTCGTATCAGCTCTGAGTTAAACATAAACTCTCTATCCTGAAGGGCAATATATCTTGTATCCTTCAGTTTGACTGACTGCTTATGCAAGCTTTCACGTATTGATGAAGGAATTTCCAGATCAATCATTTCACCATCTGGATCGTCTGACCCAATTGCAACCTTCTTTTTCTCAAAATCGGCTTCCATTTTCCACATTTCAACTGGAGTGGCTTTACCAAAAGTCTTCGCCCAATCATCTCCTTCAAATGAATCATAACAAATTTGCAGGAATGCCCTATTTATATTTTGACCGCCGACCGGATCACCTAGTGGTGGACATATTTCCCTAACAAAACCTGATTCTTCGACTTCCACTGCAAATAAATCAGCTGTTCCACCTGCCAAAATGTATATTTTTAAATTATATCAAAATGATTTTCAGCATAAATATTTCAGTATAATAAAAGTCATATTACTAATGTACATAACCGAAAACTGCCAAATTTGAAACTTATCTATATTCATTAATGAATTGTACACAAGTTGTGTTGGGAATGCCAAATTATCTTTACATTGAATTCAAACCCATCATTATAAATACCTCCCAAGTCTGCAACTAGAAACTTCTGTCCTTTCATACCAAGATCATTCATGTCTTGTCTTTCACCCTCAGGGAGATTTAAACAATATATAGCAGCAGCGTCTGGTTCCAACGCCAATAACAAGTTCTTGTTACCAATACCAGCCTATTTGTGTAAAAAATATAGGTTTGTTGTGGATATCATACAACTATGGATTTTTAGCTGGTGAATATGATGTAAAATATACTAAAAATTAAATATTTATCAAAGAATGTATTTCCGTCAGTAGCGAAAATCGATTTTTGTAACACGTTTGATTTGGCGATACGATATGATATATTCTGCAACAGGTAGATCCCATGAAGGCAATTAAAGCAGTAAAATAAATATAAACAAAAACTTGGTTTGGTTGAGCCTGTTAAGAGTGGAAAATACAGCTAAGACAACTAGCCCCCTAACCCTTCGTACAAGTTCTTTTTAAATCAAATTTTAGTCTTCAAAATAAATAATAGACAGATATGGATCTGTTATTAGAATAAAGCAACAAGATGGACATCAAATTCTAGGCGCAGTTTTAGTAAAGCATACAGACAACAACTTCGATCCAAACAATCATGAATTCAGATAATGTTAAAACTACGCGATGTAGTAAAGGGCACCAATGAAATTAGAAATAAGCCAGTGACCAAATAAGACTTGGTTTCATCAAGTCTGTTTCAGAGAGGCATAAAAACCAACAAAATAAAGCATCTCCAATGCCGCATCAACGACTCAATGTGTGCGTATGTGCACACGCGCGCGTGTGTGTGTGCATGTGTGTGCGCGCGTGTGTTTCCCCAATTCTTTAACGCTGTACAGGTTTTAAAATCATTGCAATAGAGTGAAAAGCATATGCAGGTAAGAAGCAGATTTTTACAGCTGCAACATTGGATTGTTTGCAAATGAAAAAATGCTTTGATACCGCTATCGATGCATCTCTCATGAACTTCTTTGCTTCATCCGTCCATATTGCAGGAACAGTAACGACAAAAAGAGTTTTGTTCATCTCAACTGTCATTCCTTGAGTCTGTAGTTTCTTCAAACAATGATCCTTTAATGCTTTGATGAACAATGACATTATATCGAACAAGAGAAATGGCTGATCTATCTGGTCTTCTATCATACGGTTAAAATTCTTCAATGTAAAAGTACGTACAATCAAAACAGTAAAGAGGAAATTGTACTAGTATGTGAAAAATAACATTAGTCAACTGTAATTTGTTTTAGTAAAATAACTATAAATGATAAAAACGCAAAGTGGATGTCTATGCGTCTCTATCACTCTTATAGGAAGTGCAAACGAACGACTCCTCTCCGACGTCAGAGCAGTGCGAGGGAAATACACGCAGTGAATTCGCCGCGATAGCGCAGTCTATCACCAACAACCTGAGCACTGTAGAACACTTCGAAGCATTACAATGATATCTGTAAGGACATCGTTACACCTTAAACCTCAATCCTTTCATTGTTTTTATTAATTTTAACAATGCAATGTTGTGATTATGGAAAAGAAGTAAAGTATAGTATAGTCTAGTCAAGCATAGTATAATGTAATATAGTATAGGACAAATAATATGTAAAGCAAATGGGTGCTGATTAGTTATTTGTTTTCGTTCCGAAATATTAATCGGATATTTTGTAATATAAATGTTACAAATGAGCTGAATATCTTTGTTAATATAAAATATTGATGCACTCCTAATGATAGTATAATATAAACTTACCTTATCACACAGGGCTATTTTGAAACTTTTAAAAAAAGTAGTATTGGCCATAGATCTCATGAGTTTTATACTTCTTGGCAATACCGCTATATGCCCTCTCTGCCTCCTGTCCTATTTTTGTTTCTACATCTTCCGTGATACTGAATTTATTTTCATTAATTAGACCTTTGACATCTGGTATTTTGTTTACCACTTTTCCTGTTCCTTTCTTGATTTCGATGAGAATACACGTGGATGTTTTGTGGAGCTGTACATGTAAAAAACAAAAACATTTAAAATATCACAACGCTTAAGACAACTTCGTTTTTGGTGTTTATCATCTTTTTCAAAGTTCTTTTGACTTACTAAAATGATTGTAATTGAATGAAAAACATACTTTACATACATGTAAAGCACCTGCACCCCAGCTTGTGTTAAAATGAACATTGTTCCTATTGGTCTCGAACTCAGATCTGCGTTGCCAGGCGTATCCAGAGTAAATACTTCCTATGTCTAAAGCGATTACCAGTTGTGGTTCTTTTATAATACTCTATTAAAAGAAAATTGAATTTCCATGCATATTAAAGTTGATTGGTCTACAATCGACCGTTTTCCAGAAGAATTTTAGATATTGAAAAAAAAACAACAGAAATTGGACACTAGTCCTGAAAAAAATGGTAGGATTCTGAGACATTAGTACATTCATGAACATTTTTATGATGAATATTTGCTCTGGAACATTTTACTGTCAGTATTATATAGGTAAACAATATCGACTCATATATCGCACTCTTAACCAACAACAACGTTCGTAGTTAGTTGTTGATGTACAATGCTAAATTTTATCAACAATTTTAACCTTTAAGAGGGGGTCAAATAGTTGGAGAAGGGGGTCGTGTAAATGTACAACAGACACATCACTATCAAACATTAGAAGTAAAGAGATCGCACGGATAGGCTTAGAGATCATACAGGTTTTCAGGAATATATTATCGAACATATTAGTGGTGATCAAATGGATACACTAGGGGATCATATTGGTGAACAGTTAAAATAAATTAAGCTTCAAATACGATATAGTAGATCGAATGCATTTTTTATGGGATCATACAGATGTACAATTGCATATACTTGATGTGATGTCAACCTGATACCCATATTTATGTCTGAAAGTCTTATATATAGGTATATAACAGGTGATAGTGTATTGCGATATTACCTTTTCCTGTCACCATGTGATCCCCCTAGTCGATCTATTATATCTCTTCATATGTTTGAAAGTATTCAACATATTCAACTTTTATATCAAGCGTGTTATGGTTTGGCGTTGTCTGTCTTTCTGTCTGATCTTATGGGAAAAACGGTTTGTGTACACCTTAACATGGTTTGTTCCATACCATACAAACTGTATTTCTGGGGGCTTTAAATGTCGCATGTGAGGTTGAACATGTCGTATGTGAAATTTAAAAAGATTAAGAAAAGCTGAAAGGAACAACTCCATAATGTCTATCCCCTTAGGACACCCGTAGATTATCGATGTCCACGTGATAAGATTTTAAGGATACCAATGATTTCGTTAGGAAACTGCTTTTATTTGTATAGTGCAATGGACTTTCGTCTTAAAGAGATGGCTGATCATATTTCTCAGAGCAGTTATTGTGTTAAATGATGCAAAAAACTGCTTTTAAAATACATGATGATTATTTATAAATGTTATTTTATTACGGGAATAAATACTTTCATAGGTATCAACAGATCTGAATCTTTTTTATTTCTAATATTCAATTAGATCTAAGAGTAACGAATCCCATCTAATTGAAATACTAGTATTCAGCTTCTAACCTTTACAGAAAACTATATTGAAACCCAATGGGTGTTCAAGTCTATTTAAAAGACCTGGAGTTCGTATCCCGGCCCAAAAACCGTGCTTATTTTCTATATTCCTTTTCATTTGCAAAGTAAAAGTATGGTTGTGTTTTTCTTAAAAAAATGAAAGAAAAAAGTATAAACACTATTTTAATACAAGTGAGAAACTTTAGCTAAGTAAAATTCCACAACTGTTACAGCCGAAATTACGGTGGCACAAAGGTGACATGTGTATGTTTTTATTTATCTCGTGGCCACGAGATACTATGTCGTGGCCACGAGTTACTAAGTCGTGGCCACGAGATACTATGTCGTGGCCACGAGTTACTTAGTCGTGGCCACGAGTTACTAAGTCGTGGCCACGAGCTACTAAGTCGTGGCCACGAGATAGCTAAGTCGTGGCCACGAGTTACTACGTCGTGGCCACGAGATACTATGTCGTGGCCACGAGTGATAAAGTCGTTGCCACGAGATAGGTAAGTCGTGGCCACGAGATACTATGTCGTGGCCACGAGTTACTAAGTCGTGGCAACGAGATAGCTAAGTCGTTGCAACGAGTTACTAAATCGTAGGAACGAGATAACTAAGTCGTGGCCACGAGATAATTAACAAATCAGAATACACTACATATATTATGATTTTTTTAAACTTAACAACTTACTTTTACATGCAACATTAATCTTTGAAAATAGTGAAGATATTCACTTTGAACTTGTCTTTAAGAAAAAACTTAGTAACTCGTGGCCACGACATAGCTATCTCGTGGCCACGACTAAGTAACTCGTGGCCACGACATAGTATCTCGTGGCCTCGACTTAGCCATCTCGTGGCCACGACTTACTAACTCGTGGCCACGACATAATTATCTCGTGGCCACGACTTAGCTATCTCGTGGCCACTACTTAGAAACTCATGGCCACGACATAGTATCTCGTGGCCACGAGATATATAAAAACACACACATGTCACCTTTGTGCCACCGTAGATAAATAATTAAGATGAATATTTGTTAAAACATTTTTGTCTAGAGTAGAAAAAAAGAAAACTTCTGTTTCAAGATTATTTCATAATATTGGGAAATTTCTCCAAACAATTTCTATTTCAAAGTAAAATATTGTTTTTAGCTAGTATTCAATTTAAGTTAATTTTTCACATGGTTTTACATGAAATGTTTTGAAGAAAAAGAGACAAAATTGTTTAAATAAAGTTTTGAATTAAGATAAAGAATAGAAATTATAAGTCTGCACACATTATCGGGAAATGATGGACAGAAAAAAAGGTATAAACTGATAAAACGTTTGGAAGCTAGGATAAACTGTTGAAATTTAAGAATGATTTTTTTTCGTTCATGTTAAAACGCAGGCGCCCGTCTCGTTAAGTGTCAGGGGACATTGAAGGGGACGTAAATACATGCTTCTGAGGATATCATAACGTGGGCATGAAAAGGAAAAGTGATGCACAGTCTCTATTTCGCCACATGAACATAACGGAGACTGGATAATAGACTTTCTACAAGCTGCACATCAAAGACGCCGCCAAATGATGTGAACAGTCAATCAGCATTGAAAATCGTTCTCTATTACAGTTGAATTTTCGAAGCACACAAACCAATTTTTTTCTCCATGTTCTTGGTATGTGCTCGTTGTTTGATAATAAAGTTGCATATTTTTGTCTAATGCATAAATTCACAAAATAATGCCAGGTCTGAAATTCTTAAATTTTTGTCTGTTGCGACAAAGACTGAAACGTCTGGTCGGATCAAAATAAATTGGATAACAAATAAAATTGAAATGATTGGTAAACTTAAAATAAATTCAAGACTATATGTGCCGAGAATATACCCATTTAAATATTGGTACGAATTGCATAATGTTCGAATGATATTGAGGACAAACTGTTCTGCAGTGATCTCCCCTTACACCTCTCTGATAGTGGGCGTGGTTTAGGCTTTGTAACTTGTAATTTAATGATTCGACAAGTGAAATTGATCAAAGTTGTCCTGGTTCCCTTCTACCCCGTCAACGAAGACTAAATGCTAGCATATGGAGCATAATATCAAATTTAATATGACAATTTAAGGCGGAGCCGAACTTCAACAGAGGCGAAGAAAATGAAGTATGTGACACTGCCTCAGTTGTCATCTTTCTCAACGGTCAAGCTTTAAAACAATCGAGTATAGACTGGCTCATTGGCACGTTATTTATTATGTAGATAAAATTAGATAATGATAAAAAGAATATGATTTTCAAACATGGCACTGTCACTTCAGTTAAACGTTTATTCTAATCCCTTAAAGCTCTGTGACATGTTGTACATCATAAAAGCTATTTTTATTAGAAAATTTAAAAACAGTGTGATTTTGTTAAAACAAAAAAAAAAAAACCCACAAAATCAAGTCCCCATTGCTGTATGGACAAATGCATATTTACTAGACGCCGCTTGCAAGCGGCGTCTAATGAAGGTCAAAGTTCAAGGAGCTACGTACAATCTAAACGAAGATGTGCGTGCAATATTT